CACAATATCAAAATTTTCTCTAAACTCGATATGAAACGAGAATTTTGGCAAATCCAAATCAATGAAAAAGATGGATAGAAAACAGCTTTTATGGTTCCAATTTGCCATGGAATGTCACGCAATTTGGACTAAAAAATGCTCTTTCAGAATTTCATAGGATTATAAATGGTATTTTCAATCCATATTCAGAATTCATATTGGTCTATATTGATGATGTTCTCATTTATTCTTCAAATATTGACGAACATTTCAAACACATTTATTTTTATAAAAATAATTAAAAAATAATGGATCGGTGGTTTCCCCTACCAAAATATCCCTGTTTCAAACAAAAATCGAATTTCTTGGTCATTACATTCCCCAAAGAATAATCATTTCAATAGATAGATCTATAATATATGTGGATAAATTTCCAAATAAAATTAGAGACAAAACCTAATTAATTTTTTTTTGGGAAGTCTCAATTATGTCCTGGATTTCCTCCCAAAAATTACTATCGTATGTAAACCTTTATATCAAAGATTACAAAAGATCCATCTCAAATGGTCATCTATTCATACAAATATTGTTAAACAGACTAAAGAACACATCAAAGAGATTCCGACGTTCCGTGTCTTCATCTGGCAGACCCATCTGCATTTAAAATTATAGAAACTAATGCTTCAAAGATAAGATTATATAATTCGCCTCTAAACATTGGAATGGTACTCAACTATATACACGCTATTTTTGACTTGTCACTGGTGTTTTGCTTAAGTTTTAACATGATATTTCCTTATTGCACTATAGTTACTAATGTAATAAGTAGAAGGGAAATTTAGGATATCACACTAGTGTTGATCGTGCAACATCAAAGCTCCATTTATTTGACGAAAAATGTGATATATTTAGAAAATATTTTCCAAAAAGTCATTTTTCAAGAAAATGAACTAGAAAATATTTTCTAGTGTTGGGCTGAAACATGAAAATGAACTAGAAAATATTTTCCGCCGTTTGGTATGAAAAATCTGATTTGATTTTCTTGAGAAAATTACCAAAAAATTTTGAATTTTGAATTATCTTTTCCTTTTCTTTTTCGTTTTTCCTCAGCCGGTCACCGGCCACAAGTGAGGGACGAGCTTGCCCAAGGCCAGTGAGGTCAAGCTCGTCCCTTGCTTGTGGCCGGCAACCGGCCATGGAAAAAAGAAAAGAAAAGAAAAGAAAAGAAAACATAAATTAAAAACAAAAAATAATTAAAAATATAATTTTTCAATTTTTTTTTGTATAAGGATGAACATTTCATTAACAAGGACCTGAGCTCCAAGGACTTACACATGACCTTTGTGGACTCGGGTTTGAGTACTGGGGACCAGAGTTCGAGCGTCGAGGAACTGAGAACTGCCTTTATAGACTTGGGCTTGAGTGTCGGGGCATTAGGCACAGGCATCAGGGCTTCAAGCTCGACCCCAATGGACTCGAGAGTGGACGTTGGGGGCCCAAGCCTAGGCTTGGCATTGGAGACCTGGTCCTAAATGCCGATGACTTACGAACCAGCGTTAGGGTTCCCATGTCTAGGTCTAGAATTTCAGGTCCAAACGCTAATACCCAGTCATATTTTGGAAAATATTTCCCAATTTTTCAAAAAGGAAATAGTTTTAAAAAATTTAAGCATAGCTTTTTCGTTAATTAGAAAAACATTTTTCATTTACTCATTTTCCCAAGTGAACCAAATGCCAAAAAATGAGAAAAATGTTTTTTTGCGAAAACGGAGCCTTAGCTTCTTTTCTTTTTCCCATCTTCCCTCCCCATCAAATGTATCCTTCTTGGACGAAAATTTCACAATTTTGTTTCCTCTTGTACAATTGTACGGCCCGTTATCAACCGGAACGGGTTAGGTTTCTAATGGGCTCACTGTCTCTAACGTACGTTGATTTTATCATCTCAGGCCCCATTTATATCCTGGACAAAGTCGATGATGATATTCATCTTGCTCTTTATAATTTGGGAGGATTTACTTTCTCGTGAATTTGATAGCAAAGGTTCGCGAGTAGGAATCATCATCCATCACTTTACCAACTCGTGTAAGCCCTTGAAGTTTTTAACTTTCTATATTTCGAAATTATCCAATATTGCGTTTTGTGGAACTTAACGGACCTTACTTGTTAAGTAGGTTATGTCCCGCAACTAGATCTATCAATCATGTGGGTCGGGTCGAAAATACTCCGACCCAAACATATTAGTTTAATCCGTTTTGACCAATTTCCATGCAAAACAAATATAGTGACTCGTATCCGACCCATATTGCTAAAACAATTATATATTTAACCAAATCTCGAAAAACTCATATAGGAGTGAGCGAGTAAGAGCAAGAGAGAGTAAAAGAGTTATAGAGGTGGGTTGAGTTTAAATAAGTTGTGAATTCATTTAACACCCATATTATCTCGAGCATTACTACTTCAAACTCATTTATGACCCATTTAATGAATATAATTAACTCATATAAAAACTTAACTCATCAAATATGAGTTACTCATTTCGACAGGTCTACTTGTGACATGGCACCAAGGCCTTGTTTGGTTCAACTTTGAGAAAAATGCAAAGTCATTTCCCAGGCTCTTTGGGTCAAGGGTATTTTGCTCAAAGCAAATGCGTTTGGTTGCTTCTTTTTTAGTGTAGCTTTTTGTAAATTATTTTAAAATTAAATAAAAACAGAAAAAAAACTCTCATGTTGGCTACTATGTGGTACTTGAGATTGATGGCGCCACACCAGACAATACGCTGTTGAGGTCGCACGATCACCCAGGCGAGGGCCATGGAGGATGCGCGACGCCAGGACGAGGCGACGCCAGGACGAGGCAACGCCGAGGTTGCGCAACTGCGGGGCCACGTAGATCTGGCCCTTCGACGGTCGAAGCGAGCCAGGCAAGGGCCGCGGATGATGCGCGACGCCAAGCGAGGCAACGCTGAGGTTGTGTGACCGCCGGGCGACTCAGATCTGGCCCTTCGACGGTCGAGGCGACCCAGGCGAGGTCCGCAGAGGATGCACGACGCCAGGCGAGGCAACGCCGAGGTTGCACAACCACTAGGTGACTCAGATCTGTCCCTTCAACGTTCGAAGCGACCCAGGCAAGGGCCGCGGAGGATGCGTGACTTCGACGTTGACCCTCGACCTCAGTGACCGTCGACCTTGACCAGCGACTTGACCTCAACCACTGAGCACAGAGATGATGGGTTGAAGAAGATGAAAGACAATGGTTAAAGAAGATAGAACAATAACAAAAGTGAAACACACAATTATCAGTGAAGGCAATAATAGAAAGAAAAAAAGTCATTAAATCCCCACAATAGCATTTCCAATACCAGCATTTGACCAATTGGGTATCGAAAATGCTTGTCAAATACCTCATATTTTTCTCCAGAAGTTTTAGGGGTTCAAAGCCCCTTAGGAAAGCTGAATCAAACGGGGCACAAATAAGCTTTTCCTCTTCTTCAACTCCGTGCACATGAACTGCGGTGTTAGGTTATCTCCTACCGAATTTTTATGGGATTTATCTTAGCCTCTACGTGTCATTTTCCTTCGCCTAATATATCAAACCTTCGTTTTCTTCTATCATGGAGAAGCCTATTTGATATTGATAAATCTCGAGTCCATTAAACATTCCATTAACCTCATGAATAAGGTCCGATGCCGGCCAAATCCCAAAAGGATGAGCACAACGCGACGCGACGCATTATTTGTATTCAACGACACACGCAATATCGAACGTACACCGAGCATCTTCTTCATCTTCGGCTCTCTTCATATGGTACTCAGCGGTCCACGAAGTGATAAGGCTTGTGTTTAAGTGGAAGATTCTTCCCAATAAATATGTCGTTACGCATTAATAAAGACAAGAAGTCTCGCTCCTAGCCAGCCAAATGTAGGTTTCCGTCGATCAATCACAACGTTAAACTTCTAGAAATCTCTCCATGAGGACGACAACATCTCTATCATCGAATACTATACTTAGCTGTCGTGTTTCGAAGTAATAATGCAAGTGGTCAAATACTGCCACGCGCACGAAGCGAAATGATTCGGCCATGGGCATTAAACATGTGCCACGACAAGAGTCAAGAGACACATTTAGTCGTCGTTGACGGTGACTCGGCCACTTCACTTTTGCTCGCACCGCATGCGCTCACTCTTTACTGATCGACTTAAGTTGACCACGACAATTTATTAAAAAAGAAAAATCTGATACGGTATGAAGTAAAGTGGTGTTCAGATTGATTTTCCTTTTTTTGGGTTCCACTTATTCATTTCGCGTGCGTTGAATGAATGTATCCAAGCTGTACGTAGTCAAAATTGGGAAGATATGAAGATTCCCCATCTCCATCACCTTTTCGCGTAGGACCATCTCGATCGAGAGAGCTCAATTCCATCTCCAACTCTTGATTTTTGACCAATTCCAGAATATCTGGGCAAAAAAAAACAAAACAACAAAAAATGATCCTTAGCGTGAAGTTCATGGACTAACACGACCCGAGATGCTCTTCTCTTGGTGTAATTGAGTTCGATACGATGGAATCGAATAGAATCGGGGGCGAGGTCAATAGGTCAAACTTGATTTCTCACATAATATTCCCGACTCGATGCTTAAGTTGAGCTGGATTTGATATGACATTTCTGTTCCTGCGCATAGCTCGACTTAATGACATAATGGTGATTCTAAGCTAATGCGACATTAGGCTTTGGATTAGTTTCCTGTCAAATTCGTAGAAACCAAAATAAACATCGGTTAATAATCCTGTGAAGACGTGTATCTTGTCGGAGTCCTTATGTAAAGTATCTTGCATACATGCGTAGGACAAGGTTAAACAATCGCCCCCGTCAAACCACTACAAACACAGAGGAAAGTTCAAGCACAAAAGAAACAATCTTCGCGTGTTCCTTCCTTTCGTTCGGATACGTAGGACATGGTTTCGCAACGTGGCGAGCCCCGGTTGGGCCATTGCCTACTTGGCACGTTCTTCTTCTTGACTTTCTCACTTCTACGTGAGTATAAAGATTCCATTCCCGTCCTCGCACTCTGCCCATCACTGCTCAGATCACTCGTTCAATCTCCGACCCACAGTTCGTGGAAACCACTGAGAGAGAGAGAGAGAGAGAGAGAGAGAGAGAATGGCTTGTGTGAGATTTCTGTGTTCCTTCCTCCTTGTCGCGGTGGCTTGCTCTGCCGCGGCAGCTAGCTTCGAGGGCTCCGACCTCGAGTCCTCCATCCTCCGGACCGTCGGCAACACCCGCCCCGCCCTCTCCTTCGTACAGTTCGCCCAAGGGTTAGATATCAACACCCCTTAGAGAAGAATAATGCGGGATATAGAATTGTGGATATCAAACATTGAAGAGTGCATGAGCCTATAAATTTTATTAGATGATTTTCCAAGTTAAAATATCTGACATGTACAATCAACGATCGATGTCAACTTGAGTTTGGGTAAAAGATCTGTAAAACGCCCGAGTGGATAAAGAGACAATTAGCTGACATTGACGTGACCGTGCTGTGTGTTGTCGTGACTGCCGTGCAAGCTACACGACAGGAGGCTGTTGTCATGATAGGAGAGTGTGCGACATGCATGGTTTGTCATGCCTAGGGTGCACCGGCGCACTCCTCAGGATGAGAATATTGCGGAAAATAGAATCGTGAAATTTTTGTTTATTTTTATGTTAAATACTGAGGAGTACATGGGCCTAATTATATGCGCACTCCCGACGGATACATAAAATCAAGAAATATTCTCATTATCTCTAACAATCATTTGGGTGGGTACTTAGTTTGTCGATTCCGCCTTTGTAATCTGCTAAAGTTTGTTGGCTGCGTTGTTTTTTGGGTTTAGGTATGGGAAGAGGTACGAGACAGCGGAAGAGATCAAGCTGAGGTTCGAGAATTTCAGGGAGAATGTCAGGCTTATTCGATCCACCAACAACAAGGGCTTGCCTTACACTCTTGCTGTGAATCGTACGCGACAGTTCTTGAAATTTCTCCTTTCCTATCTCTTGTTTTAGAACTGAAGATCAATTTGGTCATAGTCGTTTCGACTTGCTTCATAACCTATGAAGCCGGAGAGAGACGGTATTTTAGCTGTTGCTGCTGTTGTCGTCGAGTCTAATTTTGTGCTTGATGGTGTTGACAGAGTATGCTGATTGGAGCTGGGAGGAGTTCACCATGCACAGGCTGGGAGCTACTCAAAACTGCTCTGCCACCACCAAGGGCAACCACATGCTCACCGACGATGTTCTTCCCAAAACGGTATTTCTCACGACGATGCCTCAATCGGGAGCTTTCCGCTGGTATCATCCTTCGTTCAACGAGATAAAACAGCTTAAGTTGGACTAGCAGCTGTACTACTTTTAGCTGTATGGTGTCTTCTGTATCGACCGGCAATTTTCTCTGTTAAACTACAGTTAAATAGCTACTCAGCTGCCACTAGCTGCCTTGTGTCCATATCATATTTTCGTTTTCTTTGAAAGATTCATATATAATTCAGTTATAGTGACAAAAATCCATTAGCTTTATCCACGACGACCGAACTTTGTGTCCTCGCTTTTACTGATTGAAAGTGCTCGCTGAAAGCCTGAAACAACTTAGTTCTTTTTTCTCTCCCAAGCTCAAGGTTTCGGCACTTTCCATGGGATCTAGGACTAGATTGCTGATTACTGTAGAATCTACTGGCAGATCATCGAAGAGTGAGACCTATGTCAATATTAGATCTTTATTTTCTTCCAATCCTTCATATATTTGCAGAAAGACTGGAGAGAAGAGGGCATTGTAAGCCCAATTAAAGATCAAGGCGGCTGTGGATCTTGCTGGAGTTTCAGGTTTTTCTTTCTTCTTCTTTTTTTCACTCATTAGCTCTATAAATCATTGAGATATCATTATGCTAGACTGCTAGTGACCTCTAATTTGAACTTTTGCAGCGCCACTGGAGCTCTCGAGGCTGCTTATCACCAAGCATTTGGGAAAGGAATATCTCTGTCTGAGCAGCAGCTCGTGGACTGCGCTTCGGCTTTCAACAACTTTGGATGTGGGGGCGGGTTGCCGTCCCAAGCCTTCGAGTACATCAAGTACAACGGTGGCCTTGATACCGAGGAAGCATATCCTTATACTGCAAAGGACGGTCCCTGCAAATTCTCGGCTGGCAGTGTCGGTGTCCATGTCCTCGACTCTGTTAACATCACTATGGTAAGTTTCGTGGGAATCTGTAGAGTTAGCCAAAAGAAAGAAAAAAAGAAAGGGTCCGGAAATTGCATAAAGATAGATTCAAATTCCCTATCTGTTTATAGTTGCAATACATGGTGGATTCAGGGTGCTGAGGATGAACTAAAGCATGCAGTCGCCATGGTCCGGCCAGTGAGTGTGGCATTCCAGGTCTCGAGAGGCTTCCAGCTCTACAAGTCGGGTGTCTACACCAGCAATACATGCGGTAGCACTTCCATGGTGAGCATTTCCTAACAAAATGAAAGGAACACTATCCCCATCTCGATCATGTTTGAAGGATGCCAGCGCGCAGGAATCATAAAGCCTTCTAAACATCGATAAATCTCAACCATGACATTTACTTTGAGCATCTATCTTGTCAGGATGCATATAATCTGATTCCTTACTGCTATTAAAGTTTTGCACGCAAGGGCGATATTCATTCTTGTGTCTAATGAAAACCGAGCATTCTGTGTCAGGATGTGAACCATGCTGTTGTCGCTGTTGGTTATGGAGTTGAAGATGGGGTTCCGTACTGGCTCATCAAGAATTCCTGGGGAGAGAACTGGGGCGACAAGGGATACTTCAAGATGGAGATGGGGAAGAACATGTGCGGTAAGTTCCCCCCGTGTGATCCTCTGGTTTTGGTAGAAGTGCCGGAATAAACGGTGCCGGGATAACTATGCTTTTGAGATTCTCGCAGTGGTTTCAGTTCATGTCCATTCCTTCTGTGCTCGACTTTCTGCTAAGTTATTCCGTCCTCATCGATCAACCTTAAATTGCAGGTGTCGCTACTTGTGCATCGTACCCTATTGTGGCCTAGATTGTTATTTGGAGAACCACCTATGGAGTCGGGCGCCGGGTGATTTGAGACGTGTTGCTTCGCCTCAAGGCGGAGTGCTGTAATGTAGCATAGAAGGGTTTATGCTTAGTGTACAAAAATAAACTTCAGAACTGGTGCAATTCCATATGGTTACTATTATGTCCACAAGGACCTTGTAATTCCTCTCTATGTTTGTGCGGTATGAAGCACTATTGTTACAAGAATAACGCATTTGCAGCTGAGGAAAATGCGATTCCTCCGCGACTAAAACGGCACGGGATTGAAGGGGCAAAATTTCACTCTGAACGGGACGCTTCCACTTATCTACTATCAGTAGAGATTGAATGCACGGTGTTTCGCACATGCTAACACTCACCGTGCGATGTTTAAATAGCCGAGGAGAGGTAATACTATCTTTGATCGCACCAGAAGCGACAGTATAGCCGAAATCTTTCATTCGCAGAGCGAATTACGTATGCGAAGACAAGCAAAAGTTCACAGTTCGATTAGCTGACATTCATGTCCTTGTTCATGCATTTGTCATTTCCCAGAAGAGATCTATCGATCGGAGTAAATTACAGCTCCGGAGAGAGAGACTCATGAAATATACCTCTTTCTTTCACCAGAGAAACAAAGAATAATACCAAAGATTTTCCGATTTAATATCTTCATAGAATGATCAATAAACAGGGTATGCAAATGTGGGGATGATTGTCCGAAGAATCATAAACTTATTATATGGAATTTTGATAATTTAGTTCTAAACCTTTTTGACGATTTGCAAATATGCGAAGACCCTGTCCTGCGTGGCACGGTCCTTAGGATTTTTTTCTCTGTTTTTTGTGATTTTTTTTTTCTGAATTTTTTTCTCTGTTTTTTCCTTTTATTTTCTTTCCTTTTCCTTTTTCCTATTTCCCTCCGCCGGTCGCCGGCGGATGTCACCGGCCACAGGCGAGGGCGTCGCGGCCCTCCAAGGCCCTCACCGGCCACAGGCGAGGGCGTCACGGCCCTTGCCTGAGAGACCCAAGATCAGACCCATAGAGCTCGGCAAGGACATCCCAGACAAGAGATCGATGCCGCTTTTACTCCTCTGAGCTAAATCCATCATCTGGGTTTTGCTCATCTCTATCTCTCCGATTCTGGATGTTCTTTGATTTTCAATCTCTTGCCAGACTGAACAGAACACAAAGGCCCCCTTCTTGGCTCGCACAGAGGGGGCTTTTCTTGTGTCTCCACGTGAAAAGGAAGATTAGCAATGGTCAATTGATCGATCGTGCGGCCGCCAAGGGCATCACAGCCCTCGCCTATGGCCAGCCACCTCTGCCGGCCATCGCAGAGCCCCAGCTAGTGATATAAGAAAAAAGAAAAAAAAAATCAAAATATTGTAAAAATCCTCAAGGTCAGTGCTGACCATCCAATATAGAATAATAAATGTTGACTAAACCGTCATGTCAGTTATTTTCAATTAAAATTGATTGAAATGATTATGTTATTAAATTGTCAAAAGGTTTAGATTTAATTTGGCCAAATTGAAAAGCTTAGAACTTTTTTGGTTACCGTATGATAAGTTTGGGACTTTTGGAATAATTTTCCCACGAATGAAGTCAACAATAGTCAATAAAATAAAAATGTTGGATCCTTTCCTTTTTAGCTTTTGCCAAAAACATAACTCAAAAATCGATCACATGTATCAACCTTGCTAGAATTTCTCTTTCTTCGAATATTAATGGGACCCCCAACAAGAAAATATTGCATGCTCCATGAACTCCGTCTGCTCCACTCAATTGATTACCGCATGTCCACGTAGCCCCCACTTTTCTTTTCTTTTTTTTTTTTCTCTTGTGGCTCTCTCTCCCCTGTTCTTCTCTCACTTCTCTCACTCTTTTTTATTTGGCTTTCATCTTGCTTTTTGAGGCCATGGACAACAAGGGCCAGCAGCCATGGACAGCGGCGGCAACAAACATGGACGAGTAAGGCGCTTGCGAGTGACACTGGAACTCGTCCATAGCCGATGGACAGTATTGAACATGCACCAAAAATTCAAAAACAACGCTAATTCATATAGTTTAGCGACTGAATTGAACATGCAAAAAAAAACATTAAAGAACCACATTGAACAAATTAAAAGTTCAAGGACGATATTGCATAATGGCTAAAGTTCATGGACCACTTGCGTCATTTTCACCTCTTACACCTCTTACGTTTGCGTGGCATGAAACACTATCATTACAAGAATAATGCATTGCAGCAAGATTCCTCCGCGATTGAGACAGCACATAACCGAAGGGGGAAAAAATTCACTTGAAATGACGCTTTCGCTTATCTACTAGTAGTGATTAAACACTCACCACGGCGATGTTTGAAAGCCTAGGAAAGGTAATACTATCTTTGATTGCACCAGAAGCAAAAGTAGCCGCATCATTATCCGCAGGGCAAATTACATATGTAAAGAAAAATAAGCAGAAGTTCAGGGTCATGCAAAAGTTCATAGTTCGATTTTGCTGACATTCATATCCTTACAGAAATTGACTTTGGCATGAGATTGTCGAAAGTCCTCACATAAATGTTTCTGTATAGTATCTTCCCATTCAATGATATGTTAGGCTGTAATGGTCCTATTGGTGCCTGGAAACCTCAAAAGCTCTCAAATTGCCATCTTCATAGTTCTCTTTTCATCGGTTAGTCATATCCCACAAGATCGATCGATTGATCAGAATAAATTACAGCTCAGGGAAAAGAGAGAGAGACTCGTGAAACATGCCTCTTTCTATTACCCAGAAAAAGAAATATACCAAACTTTTCTAATTTAATATCTTCATAGAGTGATATAAGATGTAGTCAACAAATGAATATAAATTGATGGATCCTTTCCCTTTCGATCCCTTCTCTCAACCCTGCTAAAATTTCTCTTTCTTCGGATATTAATGGGACACTGACAAATTATTTCGGATGAGCAAAGAAAGCAAATATTTACATTTAAAGTGTGCAGATGATTGAAGGATCTGGAAAGCTAGTGACCCATTATGGCCTTGCAATAGCAGACGCATTTCATTTTTCCTTGGGGCATTGTTTCATTCCTGATAATCTCACTCTTAGTGATGCATAAGCTGGAGACTTCAACTTCGATCCTAGAAGTCTCCATTGTGGAATTATGATCCGTGGGGACATCTAGGTAGCTATCAAAATCTCTCTACTATACACAAAACAAATGTCTCCGGCTCTCAGCATAATTGAGCTGTGATGCCAGGTATTACCTCCCGAGTCCTGATGTCGCCGTACTGGATATGCATAAGCTCTTCGCAACATCCAAAGACTTCTCATGCCCCAGGATAGATTGGGCTACCTCCCAGCCTGAGAACCAACAGGATTGAAAACAAAGTTGGTAAGCACGTCCACTCTAAAAACTGATGGACAGTATTCTGCAAATTCTACTATGCATTTCATTCTTCATAAGTAAAAAAAACAAGACAAGTGTGCAATCAACAATGCAATAAGAATAGGCAATTTTTTTCCGGATAAAGAAAAACATCAGCACCTTAATACTGATAAACATCCCCAAAACGAAAAAGGAAAAAGGAAAAAAAGTACTCTCCAAGCTCAGTCAGCAGTTCGCTAATTGAATCAGCCAAACTATCAAAATGATAATGATCATTAATCTAGCAGAAACGAATCAGGAGGTGATGGCACCAGTTGCTTATGGCCAATTTATGTGAAGACTTGGGCAAGATCAATGATGTCATGGAGCAACTGACTGTTGAATGCCAAGTAAAAGGATGAAACACATTAAAATTGCAATGAGGTGGGCTCAACCAAGCAAGGAATGAGATCTTGTGCACCATGGTTTTAAGAGCAAGAAAAGTAAAGCTAAATACACGTGTCCAAATCTTCAATCAGGACAACCCACGATCGGATGCAAGCAGGTCAGACAGTAGCATCCATTGTCATGCATCCGTTTATTGCAAATAAGAAACCGCAAATATTCTCTAACTGTAGCACCAGCAAAGCAGAATAATCATGATGACAATGACAACAATGATGAACGTTCGGTAGCTTTCGCAAATAGCACATCAAGAATTATTATATTAGTAATTTCAAATAACAAGCGGGCCAGATTACTTACAGCTTTATAACTGATTCATGCAAGAAGCTATACACCCGCGAGGATGTATGATGGTGTAAGGACATCACTCAATCACTCGAGCCGCAAAAAACCGAAGCCCAGCACATGGAAACCTTCCATCAAACAGCCACAAGAATGTCTGCATTCATTGTAGCAGGAATAGCCCTGTTCAAAGAGGAGAGACCCAAATTCAGGCCCTCCAAGGCAGTCCGCCTTATGTGAAAGGCTTCATTGGCCATCCCAGCCTTTAGAAGGCAAGAGACAAAAGAATTAACCGTGATGCTGTCAGGAGCACAACCAACCGACAGCATCTTATTGTAAATTCTCATTGCTTCCATCATTCTCCCCTTCATACAATGCCCAATGATGAGAATTGTAAATGTCAATTTATCAGGTCTGCATCCCTTCTCCTCCATCTCCGCCAATATTATGTTTGCCTCATCTACATTACCCGCTTTGCAGAACCCATCCATTACTGGATTGTAAATAAATGGTTTAGGGACAATATTCGAGCACCTCAACTGTCTTAAACATTCACGAGCATCGTGCAACCTATTATCCTTACATAATGCATTGATAAGTACTGAAAAGGTATAAGCATTGGGTGATATGTTCCTAGTAGACATCAGCTGCCAAAGTTCCAAGCCCTCATTCACCTGCCCCGCTCGACAATGCCCATCGATTAAGGAAGTAAAGGTAACAACATCAGGGTAGCAACCAACAGAGAGCATCTTGTCATACATGGAATGGGCAGAGCTCATGTTTCCAGCCTTACCAAAGCCATCGATTAGGACATTGAAAGTAACTGTACTAGGTCTAATACCAGAAGTTTTCATCTCTTCGAACAGAAGGGATGCTTCCTCCATTCTACCCAACTTGCAACAACCGGATATAACCGACGTGTACGTCACAACATCAGGTGAGACGTCACACCTCGATCGGACTTCCTTCAATAAATGGTGCCCCCTTTCTATCTCATTGACCCTACATAATCCATTTATAAGTGTGTTAAAAGTAACAATATCTGGAGAACAACCAAAACTCTCCATATCATTGAAAAGTTCAAACGCCTTATCGATATCTCTTACTCTGCATAAACCTCTGATTAATATATTCAAAGTCCAAGTATCAGGACTGGCGTGCAATAGCAAATGCTCCTTCAACAAGGACATTGCCTGGTGCACCTGATTCCTATTGACCAACAAGTTCAATATTGTGTTACAGATGTGGGAACTCATCTTTATCTCAATGCCATGAACCTTCGCAATTATATGCTTCACACTATCGATTTTACCCGCTTCCACGAATGACAATAACAAAAACCCGAAACTTGCACTATCGATCGAATGCCCATCACTCCTCATGCAATCAAAAACTGCCTTTGCCGAATCATGAAGACCAGCTCGACATAATATTCTCATGAGCATATCATAAGTCACAGGCCAATGAACAATACCCACGTTCGCCCTACTGAACTCAAAGAACCCAAACCCCAGCTTCGGATCCCCAAGCCGCCGAGTGACCTCGAATGCGATCGAGGGCGTCAAGTGCCGCCGCAAGTAGCCCAAGCAAGCATCCACACCACTCGAATGCACAAACACAGAGCACGCAACCTTGACAAACCAAGCCTCGGATTCATCGATTACCCCCCTATCGCACCCGGGCAATGCACGAGATCCTCCTCCTCCCCCCTGAACCTGAGCGTGGAAGTAACTTGCGGCGACGCCGGAGGCTCGAACCCTAGGACGGCGAGTGACGAGGGATAAGAGGGTCATCACCAACCCATTGCCATCACCCGAACCAGCTCCACCTCCAGTAGCTTCAGCGTTATCGACCCTTCTGATTAAAAATCGCAGCTTTACGACAGTTCGATCGGATTCTGAGGTGGGTTTTTGCTGGGGCTCTCTGCCCTTCATGGGGAAGTAGCGAAAAACAGTTCTGGTCGCATTACCAAACCGAATCACGAGCCCCGACAGCACTTCGTCCCATTAGGACATACGAATCGAAGATCTGTGGAGACGATCTGGGTGGGGTTGAAAACTCCAGTCCGGGATGACACAGGGATCGAAGGTTGGTCTCTTCGAAGGAATCGTGGGCAAAAATGGGGGCATCTGTCGGAGAACTCCGAGAGGGAGGAGTTGCCCGGCTTCGCTGGTTAGGGTTTTGTGAGGTTTCTCCGAAGGGAGCGTCACCGGGCTGTGAGATTAGATGGAAACACAGCATGACGGGCCAATCGGACATCGGCCCAGGAAGATCATTAGCAAGTTTTGGTCCACGACAGTGACAACTTAGGCTGCGCATGGCAACTTGCCAAATAGTATTTGATTCTGTTCTTTTATTTTCAGAATCAGTTTGGGAATAAAAATTTGTTTGTTTAATTTTTTGATTCTGGGCACAAATTCTTGCAAATTTGTGCCCAGAATCAGTTTTGGAGCAGAATCAAGAAACAAAAAAAAGTAGCTTCTTGATTCTGGGAAAAAAAATGAGAATCGGTTTTTTTTTCTTCTTTTTCTTGGTTTTTAATATAGCTTCTAATGTCCGGCGCGAGGGCCACCATCGCCGTATCTGGCGAGATTAAAATATTTTAATAAAAAAATATTACCGGCCATGGCCAGCGACCAGGCCATGGCGAAAAAAATAAAAAAAAATATTATTAATAAAAAAAAATTTACCGGCCAGGGACCAGGCCATGGTGAAAAAAATAAAAAATATATTATTAATAAAAAAAAATTTACCGGCCATGGCCAGCGACCAGGCCATAGAGAAAAAAATAAAAAATATTTTTTCAATAAAAATATTTTTAATAAAAAATATTATTGATAAAAAATTATTTATAAAAAAATATTTTACCGGCCATGGCCAGCGACCAGGCCATGGAAAAAAAATAAAAATAAAAATTTCAATAAAAATATTTTTTATTAAAATATTATTAATAAAAAAATATTTTTACCTGCCATGGCCAGCGACCAAGCCATAGCAAAAAAAAAGAAAAAAATATTTTCAATAGTTTTTAGTAAAATATTTTAAAAAAAATTATTAATAAAAAAATTATTTAAAAGAAATTTTTTTACCGGCCATGGCCAAAAAAATAAAAAAATATTTTTAATAAAATTATTATTAATTAAAAAATATTTTACCGGCCATGGCCAAGAAGGAGGAGAAGAAAAAAAGAAAAGAAAGAAATACTAAAATATTTAAAATGTTATTAAAATATTATTAATAAAAAAAAATTTTATGCCATTACCAAACGCATTTCTGTTCTTTTACTATTTCAGGAATAGCAATTTTGGGCCGTTACCAAACGCCTTTAAATGCTTAGAATCAGTTCCCGGGCACAGAATAAAAAAGAATCATTTCTGACCAGAATCTGTTCCCGGGCACAGAATGGTTGCCATGCACAGTCCGCGGAGCTTTTTTTTTTTTTTTATGTAGTCACGTATTCAAATTTCACAAATTACACATAAATTATTTTAAATCAAAATTATTTGTATAGAACGAGAGCTCGAACTTAACCGATTCATATAATAAACTGAGTCGTGACTATTTTCATATTTATCAAAGTTGGCTTTGAAATTTCATATTTTTTCTTTCCTTATAAACAAATAGTCATCTTTAAGTGAAAGTAATCTTTTATTTTCTCTTTCGAATTGAAAACATCGTCTAGGTTTCAGGATGCGGACTCATGTGTCAACATTCATGTACAATGCGAATGCGCAAGGTCTAGATGTTCCGTATTAATATGAGATGAAAGTGTGCGGCACAAGAGTGATTGATTCTCGGTCTAGTCTAAATCAACAGGACTAGTTCTCAATTTCTAGAACCGGGGATCTAACAGGACCGACTAGTCTGGTTCCGAACAGTCCAATGAACCAGTGCGGGGAAGCCAATATGGATCACGTTCCACGACTGCGAGCAAGACACTCTTCTCTCTATTCTCTCTTTTCTTCAGCCATTACCATTTTTGTTTCCTCTCTCTCCCCACATGGACCATCGTCGTTTTTTTAGGTGTGCGTCCATCCAAGCCCCGCTTCATCTTCTTCTTCTTCTTCGCTCCTGCTTCACCCACCTCCTCTCTCAGGCGACTAGCTCCTCCACCTCAAACTCCAACGAACCCTTCTCAAATCCGACTTAAGTCTCAGTCCAGCCACCGTCTCGGCTTCGAACAGATTGATTCACGGCAGCTCAGCGTGTACCCACACAACCCTAGGCGTTAACGACGACGACCCACATTCAGATAGGACCGCCCGAGAATCGTGAAAATTGATTACGACTCAAATCCAAGTTGTTTTTCACCAAGCTGAGAGGCGTGACAGGCAGAGCGTGGCTGAGAGACGATTAAGGGTTTTCGACTTCGATTCGGTTCACGAGGAAGGAGATAAGAGAGCAAGGAAGGGCAGTTCTCGACAGTGCCGGTCCGGTCCGGGCAATTCCCGATCCGGTCAATCCTGTATGCTCGATTTTTTAATTTGAATTTTTCTAATTTCTTCATATATTATGGCCAAAAAGCATTTTGAGCATCTTTTAATCTTAAATTCCCGAAAATTTCACAAAATCTAAATACAAACGTGCACATTTATATATAAAACTTTTTCTATTGGTAATGAGCATTTCGAGTAATTATTTAGATTTTGACAAGCAAAGGAAAAAGTAGACACCTTTCGATAAGCTGCCACCGACAAAACTCACACAACAACGTTAAAACATGAAAATCAGTACCGTCCGAGAATTAAGCGGAAAATCGAGGACGCGGGAATTTACAGTATTACCCCCGCGCGTAACGCTGCACGGACGGGCGCGACGAGCCCTCTCCCTCCCGGCGGTTAAAGCTCTCTGCTTTCTCGTTGCTCGACCGGATCTCCACAGCCACAAGCACGCCCAGATCGCATGGAAATCTGGGTTTCCCAGATTCTGCGACCACCATTTTCGACCCGACGGCGAAATGCTCGAGATGTCCATCGTCGGCGCATCCCCATGTCGCCGGAATTCATCGCCGAAAGAAGAGCGCGCGGTGAGTCTTGCCGGTTTCTGGTGATGGGGTCTGTTCATGATCGAGCTTGTGAAGATCTCACCGTTCTTGGGTCTGTTTTGGGTTCTTGTGATTGAGCTCGCTTGCTTCTTGTTTCTGCTTTGTCTGTTGAATGTTGCCTCCGTTGAGGGAAAACGAAAGCTTCTAAGCCTGAGCTTGTCGCTGATCACGGGGTTCGCTCCTCGCTAATCAGCGACAGGGTGGGAGCAAACTTCCTGCGACGTGTTCCAAGTGAAGTGATTTCTCTTTCCATATTGATTTTCGTGTAGAACAATTAGTGAAACTGGAATTGATGATATGGCGACGTGTTCGGTTTACTACTTATTTTGGTTTAGGATTGAAATGCCGTAGAAGTCGTTGTAGGGTCGATCTGTATTTGATCCACCTGCTTGAATCGTTCATTTCCTTGCAGTTTCCATGTTCCACTCAAGCACCTCTCGTTTCCTGACTCTTTTCTGTCGCCTACGTTGTTGTAAAATCCATTGGAAGTGAAGAAACCACGCACTACTTTCCTTCATGGAGCATATTTCTTCAGGGCAGAATATAGAAAGTTTGTTAAAGAATAGATAGACATGTCATTCGAAATGGAATAAGAAAAAGAAATATTTACGATTCTTGACGAGGCAAGCAGGTCCGAACTTTGTTCTATTAATGTCAATATTAAAAGATGTGTACTTCAGCCTTTCAAGGAGTTTGATTCTTTTTTCTTTTTAGGAATAGCAGTCTTCTCCTTCATAAATAGTTTCCCCCCATCTTTAGATCCATAGATGCTATCTAGTATATGTGTAAATGAATGAATTAGTGACACGTTGGGACATTAACATATTCCTATTCTGTTCACTACGAAAATTTTGCATTGCCAATCTAAACGGAAGCTACTTCCTCTCTGACTGTTTCCCCTTTTCTTCTCTTAGTTTACAGAATGGCAGTTGTTAATTTCATCTTTTCTTTATTTGGCCAACAGTTGTTAATTTCTTTGAATCATGTACTGGTATCGATTTGGTAAATGCCGGATGATAGGGTGGAATATCTTTTCAAATTGATCCACTTGTTATTATACCACACAGGGTTCCTAGTACCTCTTGATGTAATTAAGTTTCTTTTGTTTTTTAATCTGGAAGAGATACTTTTGCGTCGTTTCCTACAATAACGAGATTCTGAATGCCGACAAAAGATGAATCCCGCCATGTCCTTATCATATCTAGTATATTTCTTATGTAGTTAACTGTTGCTTTCATTACCAAGAACGGCTCAGATGTTGCATCACCCAAAGAAAGCGTTTTATTGTTAACGGCCAAGCTCATAAAACTCAATGCCGACAAAAGTTAACTTTTTTCCATTTTGAATGCTGTTAGCAATCCATTTCCTTTCCTATTTCTGATGTTTTTTTTTTGTTCTTTCACTATTTGCAGGATGGCGGAATGTGCAAGTGGTAGTCCAACTCTAATTATTAACGATAAGCTAGAGACGACGGATGATTGAGAAAAGGAGATGCCCATGCTCCTGGTCTATCAAGCAGATGGGCATAGTCATGCCAAAACCCTGTGGATAACAGCCATTTGGCATGCTTCAGATGCTCCACCTTCATACTACTTTTAATCTCATGCCATGTTTCGACTCGACAGTGAACTTGCTTTCTGACAGGGAACTTTTTCGGTAGCTTTGTGCCCTAGCAACTTTTGATAAACAGGATACATTCTCTAACATATCAGCATTGGCTCAACTATCGAGTCAAACTTCATCTTGATATCTCCACAGATTCTCCTTCTGCAGTAGGGCTGTATGAGTTATTTGTCTCGCATGTCCTCTGTGGAAGCTCAGGTTCTGCTATGCATTCCCTTCTGCATTTTGAAAGTAGACGTTCCAGAACCTATTGGTGCTTAAACATGGAAATTGTTAAAAGCCATGTATTAAGCTATTTCTGCATGTACACTCGTGTAAAGCAAAGGTCATCTCAAAACGATGCTACATACATGTGAATTGAAAAGCTACATACTGTAGAAATTCAAAGTTGAACGAAATGAATTTTTAAATGCCGATGCTGGAGAGGACGTCAAATTAACTGTTCTATGATAAGGTTTCATGCATGATACAAGGACATGTAAGAATTTTTTTCAGTTGATTTATGCTAGCATATGTTAGAACGAATGATGTAGTGTGAAAGCATGACAAGCAGAACATGAAGTATTGCAGATGTTGAGATTCGAAGAATATCGTGTGAGAGTTGTAGGAGAGATCGTGGTCATTGAGATGACATTTCAAGTACTTGTAGGCTGTAATGTTGTTCCCCATCTATTATTTCCTTTCCTTGATATATTTCCTATATTTTGGCAGTAACTCATAAAGTCATTTTTATGACCAATAGAAATGATCTAGCCAGGCCAAGGAGACACCCTGTCTAGTTCCTTTATTAGAGGCCTAGAACAGCCAGAAATTTCTGGTTCTGGCTATGTGAGAGATTCAAAGGAAATCCTTATAGTGATAAAAGGTACTTGTCTCTTTTCAAAGGATGGCAAAGGCAGTAAGGTTTGCGCTGAAAATTTTCGTAGATATCGCAGGGGCCAGAGAGAGATCTTGACAGTGAAAACCGCTGTGCTTAAATTTTTGGGACTGATAATGACAGTAGTGGCTGTACTGACATCATTGGATATTTTGCAGGGCCAGCAAGGAACATAAATATGAAGGTTACTAGCAACGTTTTGGAGAGTGTCAGTCCAGTTTGATATCTTGGTTCCCTTCTTTGTTCACCTTTCAATCACAAGAATGATGCATCGAACTATTTTAACCTCTCTTTCTTTGACATAGCATATGTGGCATTATTGCCAAAACTTCTAACGTTCTGGTGGAAAAATTTTTAGCGCCGGCAAGCAAGGGCCAGAAATGTAACAGAGGTGAAAGCCGGCTTGGCATGCTTACTGTGAATCAAAAGGTTGGAACTTTGTCTCAAAGTAAGGTTCTGCAAGAGATACTCTGTGATGACATGATGGACCAAACTATTTTTGAAAAAGTCATATTGACTTTACAGGGGGTCTCACAGAAAATTTAGTATACTGTGATGGTTTTTGCATCATGCTTAGTTTGTAGATGTCATGCGGGTATATTTAGCACCTATGATATTTTTATTACAATGTCTGAGATTATGATTCTTTTGAATGAACATATGTAAAGTTCATGGTTTTCTTTAAACCGTTTTGGACTTCATTGCTTGCATGCAATATATGATATAGGCATGCATTACTGCATACTAATAAGTATTTCTTCGTGATCCTACACAAGAATATATGATTATTTTTGGTCCAGTTACGTAAGGCGGTCAGGAGCAAAGGTAGAAGAAGAAGAAAGAAAAGAAAAAAAGAAACGAAAAAAATCAGAAAAAATATTTAAAAAATTGAAGTGTACATGCTAAACTACGTCGTTTTGAAGTGTACATGCTGATTAAACCTCCGGCGAGCCATATCGTTTTCAGAAATTAATAAAACAATGTCACATTGGATTTCCGGCCAAATTGACCGGAGTTGATACTTAAGTGATCGTTTTTCAAAAAGTTTGGCACTTAAGTGATCCGGCGGAAATTTTTGGCACTAAAGTGAGCGCCGTATATAAGTTTTGGCACTTTTAGTATTCTTCCCCCCACTTTTTGTGTTATTTACTTTTCATCTGTGTGCATCTTATGTTAATAAACCCAAGTCCATGTAAAAATAGACTTTTTATTAGTTTCCCACGTCAAGTTTGCAGATATGGCCTCCTCTCTACTCAGTCTGTAGTGACCTCTTGGACCTCTCAAACTTTCACTGGCGGGACAAGCTTAAGGTCCTCTCAAAGAAATTAAATAAACTGGAGGGTGAATTTGCAAAGTAGACTCGCAGAGCTCAAACCACAACCAGTTTATACAAGAGATCATGCATATTCACCAACCAAAAACGCAATAAAGCGGGTGCAGCTTATGAAGAAATCCGGGAAAATTATCCAAAAAGTCCTAAACTTATTGTACTTTTGCCAATTCAGTCCTAAACCTTTTAAGTTTGCCAATTGAGTTCTAAACCTTTTCACTTCTTGCCAATTGGGCCCATCCGGTTGATTTTGGCCGCCCGGAACTGACGTGGACACCGGCCGTCTGGCCAACGATGACGTGGTAATTTTTAAATATTTTTTACTTTTTTTTTTTGCCTTCTTTCCTCTGACCTGTCGCCGGACCGGCTAGAGGCAAAGGCCGGCGAGGTCGCCCTCGCCTTTGGGCGGTCGCCGGACAGGCCAGACGGAAGAAGTCAGAAAAAATATATATATTAAAAAATTCGAAAAAAAAAATTTATGAATTGCCGCATCAGCGCCGGCTGGCCAATATTTGCCGGATGAACTCAATTGGTAAGAAGTGAAAAGATTTAGAACTGGATTGATAAACTTAAAAGGTTTAGGATTGAATTGGCAAAAAGTGCAATTGATTTATGACTTTTTGGATAATTTTCTCGAAGGTATCTGAATAGGTTCATTTAGGCCGACCGAGCGACATATCCGTACGTCCAAACTAAGCCAAGCAGGAGTAGGATAAGATTTCGGGTTCGCGGCCTCGGATACTGTCCACTCTCAATGGCAACGGAACCCTCATTTGCCAACAAATCGCGCATTAATTACCCCCTCGCTTTGTTCAACACTGGGGAGATTTACTCGCTCCCATCTTTGACACTGATCCGAAAAGGAAAATTTTTTAAGTAACCCCAGTTCCCCAACTATGGAGTGCCTGCGTGAGAAGACGAGGGTGGCCTCACTGATCCTGAGCGTTACCATATTCGGTTCCTTATCGCCCTCGTTTGGTTTTTTCCTCTGCTCGAGATACAATGTGTGTCCGTTCATGGCTCAATTCAAATGACAGTAATCACATCACTCTGCCACCTTTTGAAGCCTGCATACGTCACGCATGCCGGTTCCTCTATAAAGACCAAGGCTTTCGGTTCCTCTTTAAACTCGTCATAACCTTCCTCGAGACATTTCATGACCTCCTTATGAGAAAACTCTGGTTTTTTTTTTTTTGTTAGTTTTTTGCTTTTGTTTTTGGTTTCTGTTCACTGTGTGATCAGCAGTCATCGCTAAGGTAGCATGGAGACTTCTTCTCTTTGAGGGTGGTATGTGAAGAGTCTTCCCCTCTCTGCTCTTAAATTTTCTTCATTTCTCGTGCTGATCTATGCACCAACCGATGCAAGAACCAGAAAATCAAGAACATGGCTTCGTCCCTCTTCATTTAAACCGGAAATGGGCATCGTTTCCGAGGAGATAACCCGGACAGACACGCTTGAATAGTCTCTCTCTTAAACATTTTTACTCTCTCTCTCTCTTCCCTTTCACTTCGTGTTCACTGACTGAATTTCAGTAGACTCGAGTCCTAATTTCGTCTCTCTTTTGGAAAAACAAACAGTCTCTCCATTACGACGATGGATGGTTTTCTTGCAGGATTTCAGTGCCTTAACCGAGTCCTTGCGCACGTTGCGCACGTATATATACTGTCGCGCCCACTGAAAAGAAATGGAGGGCTGGCCGGAAGGGGAAAACGCTGAGCCTCATCTCATCCCACAGCAGCACTACACGCTCTTCCACTCCATCGACCGCGCCCTCTACACGATCCTTGCGATCCACCTCTGCCGCGACCCGGCCGAGTCCCTCCGTGTCGTCGCCCTCCTCCTCTGGCTTGAGCGCATCGGCTTCCCTTATGCAGTCAAGACCGTCCTCTCGCTTCCCAAGATGCTTGTTAGCGACCTCGCCGACGAGGCCATGGCCTGCCTCAACTTCATCTTCAATCACGGCAACTTTTCAGATGGCGGAGCCGACGTCCCCCTCATGCGGGGCGTGATAGGCCGGTGCATCTCCCTGCGGTTCCTCCATGAGAACCGGGAGGATGCCCGCCGAGTGATCTCCAAGATTATCGACACCGTGTGTGTTAGGGCTCTGACTGACATAATGCGGGACGCCGTCGCAATAAGGAACGCTCGTCACAACCCGTCCCCGTCAACGTCCCCAGTCCGCCTCCCGAATCGACCTGCATTTCCAGGGATGCGGCAGCGCAGGAATGAGAACACGAACGACCCCGTCACGATCAACCGACATGTCCCCATTGGCCATCAGAGCCGACAGTTCTGGTTCCTCGGGAAAGAGGAGGCCGAGGCGGTGCCGTCCGACGACCGGACATTATTCATGACCTTCTCGAAGGGGTACCCGGTGCACGAGTGGGAGGTGAGGGAGTTCTTGACCAGGGCGTTCGGGGACTGCGTGGAGGCGCTGCACATGCAGGAAGTGACGGCACGGGAACAGCCACTGTTCGCACGGGTCGTGTTCCGGTCGGCCTCGACGATCGAGCAAGTGCTCGACCCCTCGGGCAAGGCCAAGTTCATCATCAATGGCAAGCATGTCTGGGCCCGAAAGTTCGTGCCGAAACGCACGAACGGTCACAGAGCGGTGGTTCATCAACCTCCTCCTCAGCCTTGTAACTTGCCACCTTATTTTCCAGACTGAGATGGTTCGTGTATGAGTGCAAGTTCGTGGAATAATAATAATAACAATCTTGGTGAATAATCTTTTAATGCATGGTTTTAATTTGGAAATCTAATAACCCTTAGATTTGATAGAATCTGTTGTGTGATCTGAGTTTTAAATGAAATTTAGCTTGGCAATGTTGGTCAAACTTCACAAAGAAGTTGTGCGCATGAACCCGAACGAAGTAATGTTAGGAAACACTAAAACTGATAGATAAAAATTTATATATCGAGTGATGTGATAAATTGTATATAGACATTTTAATAGGCCATACTCGACATTCATTTGTTCTGCGATATCGTTTAATATGTCAATTTTCTCTGCTTCGAAAGAACATTGATTAAAAGACATTTCTTTTCCTTTAAGAAGTACTAGGTTGTATTAATTATCTTACATAAACTTACTAAAGCAATATGATTAAGTTTCAATGGAGTGTTGAATTAAATGGGACCTTGTTTAAGCACCCAAATAGGAAATCTACCAAGTCATTTAATGAAGAGGTTTCATTAAGGATTAGTATATCTAGCATTGCTTTTTCACTATATCTTGGTTTCGTTCTATTAAGTGACGGTGACAAAAACCACGGTATTATATTTCATACAATTTAGCAATGCCATTAAAGTTTTTATTGTTGAAAGGATGCCGTATTTGTTTTTCAACTAGACAATAAAAAGATGGTAGAACATTAGATTATTGAATAATGAGATTTGGATTAATGTCATTATTGAGTAATCTGATTATATAAGCTACTTTTACTATTTTCTTTAGGATTAATATCACGAAAAACCACAAACTGGTACAATTGTGACAAATTTACTCTCAGTTTGTTTTCCTTAAATTTTACTGTCAAATTATTTTGGTAAATGACACACGACAGTTGACGGATGTACCAATTTTACGTTTTATTCTCCGTTTGTCACAGGTATACCAGTTTGTAATTTTTTGTGGTACTAATCCAATTTAACGGAAACTAACAGAGTGTAAATTTATCACAAATGTACCAATTTGGAGTTTTTTCGAGTTAAAAAAATTAGTTTAGGGTAAATTTGTCACAAGTGTACTAGTTTAGGATTTTTTGTTGTCAAAAAATTAGTTTGGGTTAAATTTGTTACAGGTGTATCAGTTTAGGATTTTTCGTGATATTAACCATTTTCTTTAAGACTTGTTGCTAATTCATTATCTATTTATTTTTTAAAAAGCGGGTCCCAATTCTTTTGCATGAATTCATGCATTTTTGACAAGTGGTAGTGTTTCTTCCATGCCGGTGACTATAACCATATTGTCACCTTTTGCTTTAAGGGCTCTTTTGTTTACATCTACTTTAACTACATGTGGCCAATCTTCTTATTCAATTAAGCTAAGAAACATATCATAGTATTAAATGAATTTTAGTCAACTCTCTAATCTCCCTCCTCACGAGCAATTCACTCCTTGAAAAGTTGACTGATATTCTACTTACTCGTGTCACTATGGTGAAGGAAAATGTACTGCAAGAGATATACATGCTTGAATAATTTTAGTTTACCGCTGCGATGACATGATGAACCAAGCTATCTATGGAAAAAGTCTGTATCGACTTTATAGCAGGTCTCAGGGAAAATGGACTAGCTATCGTTAAAAGTTTGAAGACTAAACTAGCCAAATCAAAAACTTTGGGACTGAATTGGCTGCCGTACAATAGATTTATGACTTTTTCACGTTTTGCCAATTGAGCCCATCCAGCCAATTTTAGCCAGAAATAGCTGATATAGACGCCGGATGTCCTGCGTCAAAAAATAAAAAAAAGAAAAGAAGGAAGGAAGGAAAAGAGAAGGAAAGACATGAATAAAAGTTCGAAAAAAAATTAAAATATTTTTAAAAATTATCCACACCAGTATCGGCCATGCCGCATGGGACGGTTAGCATCCACGTCAGCGATTTCCGGGCAAAATTGACCGGATTAATTCAATTATTGGCAAAACATGAAAAGATTCAAGACTCAATTTGAAAAATTGGCCGAATTGATTCGATCGTGAAGAAAGCTTTGCCGACCTTGAGGGGGGGAACGAGCTGTGGAAGTACAGTCTGATCTGCACGTGAGTTTACTAACCGATTGCCTATCTGTGCATTCCACGATCTCACATATTTAGAAATTAAGGAACCCCAGGTTACCCAAGTAAGCATAAATAGCTCGGAAACATCCGTTTGAGGCATGAAATTTGGCACATTACCCGTTACTGCGCCAATTAACGATGAGACGAGATAGATTCTTTTTAATTAGTAAAGATCCCGAAAGGCATACGATAGAAAACATCATGTGCTTTTGACGATGTAGCCATTGTCGAGCTGAATTTGCATACCGATAAAATTGACCTAAATCGTTCCCAAACCCCGGTGCTCGGTCGAGTCGAGGTGCTCCAATAATCTCAAGCAAACAAGCATTCACATGCCTCGGACGTTCAAGTTGCCCCATCCTCGCGGATATAGCAAGGCCGGACGGGGCGAGGCTGCGCAGAGGTGGACCGGCCTGCGTCTTCATAGATTGTCAATATTAGACCTTAACCATCATGCCCATCCCAAGCCAGTTTTGAAATGCTCTTTTTCTTAATAAGAACAAAAGAGTAATACCCAACATTCAAAGTCAAGTCAAACAACCTATTAACTCCTTTTGAGCGGAGACCCGTTTCAGAAAAACATGATCATGCTTCTTTCGTGAAAAATGCATGATTTAAAAATCCGTTTTCTTAAAAATAATTACTTGTATCGCTTACAAAATTGAAAAAAAAAAAAGTGATGCTGGGCTAACGGCAATATAGGCTCGAGAGTTACAATGACAAGCCCATTTGAACTAAGGAATGGGCCGAGAAGTTTCTTAAATGTCCTACCCACCCATTTTCCCCACAACTATACATTTACATCCTTTCTGTTTTTTTTTTTATTGTTACAATATTTATATCCAACCGGAAAAATACAATAAATATGACTGAGTTTGCTGCACTCAATCACCAAAAAGATGCATCTAATTCCAAAACTACAAATCTGGTACCTCACCTCAACAAATTTGTGCATCATTTACAAAAAATGTCATTTCTCTTTCCAAAAATATCCGTACGCTTCTCTTGCGCGCGCACCAACACACAGTCCCAAAGCACTCGAAATACCGACACCGTGCTCACGAGTATCCGCCGGCCACCTTTGCCACTGCCGTCTCACATCGCAGTTGCCCTCTCTAGACTTCGCTTAGTTGCTCTCATAGCTCGCCGCCAGGCCTATACCTCTCGGTCAGTCTCTCTTTTCAGAGCTAGGTTCGGAGTTTCGATGAATGGGAGGTATGTGTCTAGAATATTTAGTTCATTTACATAAGGAAGGGTGGTTAGGCTATTTAAACGTGTTTGAGGTATGTAATTGCTGTTTTCGAAGATAGAGATACGCCTTTGATCATGTGATGAAAATCGAGACATATTTTTTGTATTTTCTCTATTCCAAATGTAACGTCATCTTCTGGTTTTCCTCAAAACTGTGCTCTCTCTCTCTACTAGTGCTACTTATAGTCATTTAAATCATGCGAAAAGGACTTGCACTTTGCACATTGCATTTGGATTTGGGGGCAAAATAAGGGAAAATCGTCACCAGAAGAAACTATGGGTCCCTCAGAAGCATCTCCAGAGCTGACACTGATATGGCAAGGAATCCCTGTGGCTCCTAGGTCTCCTGCTCTGGAATTGACCACCAAACCAAACTGACGGCAGATCCAGACCATCACCCTTTTCTTATTTTTCAAATGGGTCCCCAGAAATCAGGGCCAGTGCCTTACCAGGTGCAACCAATCGTTTTGTCTTGCTCATGCCCTGTTTTATTTTTATTTTCTTGGCCCCACCAACTGACAGATAGGCAAGTTTGTTGCAGCTGCAATTTGTATCCACAACCACAGCTCTCAAGAACTTAAAATTTTCCCATTTGCTTCCAATGTCCAGCTACTTGGTGCAAACCTACCAGCACAAACCAGTGTGGGTCTCCAAATCTTTTGACATTTGCTTCTCATATCTGGAGATAGAAAAGGGGACACTTGTCTTTCATTGCCAACAGCAATAGCATCACATCCTGCCGGTCTAAAGCTCTCATGTCAACCATGTCCGTTCACAGAACAAGATTCTTCAGAGTCCCTGAATCTGGTTTGAGACATCAAACACCCAGACATGTCCAAAGATTAGCTGTTTCAAGGGCTATGTGAGTTAACTCTTCTCAGTTCATGTACTTAGCTAATCCTATCAATTCTACCAATTTCATGTGTCCTCTTTCTTCACAAAATGATCAGGAAAATGGATTCTGAGTCTTCCATTATGGGAAAAGTGAAAGAACTCTCAGGGCAGTTTATTGCAGCATTACCAACCCCTCAAATTGATACGACGAAGTCTTCATCGAACCTCCGGTTCGATAGGCTGCAGCAATTGGATCGGGAGTTGTCTCGAGAGAACATACACGAGTTCGGACAATTTGTGGCTCGAGAGGCCTTGCTCGATGAAGAATACTGGGTATATTTTTCAAACCCCCCAAGCGCAGATGCAGTTACTCTCAATTATCAAAGTTATGTTGTTTATGAGTTGCTTATTGGTCCTGTTAACAACTCTGCACTAGACAGCAGCATGGCTACGGGCAGAGAGTCATTGGGAAGACCGAGCAAACGACCGGTGGGTACTGCATCCCATCGCTCATGAAATTTACATCAACGTTCATCTAATTATGCTTGTTCTCGCAGATATGCCAATAATTACAAAAGGAAATTTGCCGAGCAGGTAAATATAAACGCCGTGTTCTTATTTGCTCCTTGTTAGATTCTACACAGAGAGGTCACCATAAAAGAATTTCGCCCTATTTAGGAATTCAATGCCATAAAGAGGCGATGTAGAGGACAAAACGGGCAGAAATGCATGTGCATTGTCACGGTATGGCATGCCTCACCGATCCAATTCTATTCTCCTTTTGTCAAGACATAGACTTAGGTAATTTCTTCGTTAGAGTCGAACTGTGCATCTGCGAATGCAACTTCCTGATATGATGCACGACATTTAACAGGTCAAGAAGGAACACAGTAACGTCAAGCGGACTATCCCGAAAAGCATAGTTGGAACGCTTGACTTGAGCTTCTGGTACTTGCTACACGAAGAGACTTCCCCCGGGGTACGTGTTATTCCTGAAATAATCGAACATAACAGCTTCTATTAACTCTAGAATCCAATCAAACAGAATATGAAAACCCAAACGGTCTCTCAGGAAAGGGTGAGGGCTCCTCTGTTCTGTCGCCTCAGTGAAGCAGGACCGGCCAGATTCGGCTACATTGGAAACCTGTGTGTGGCCAAATCAGCTCGTCGCCAGGGCATTGCAAGCAGCATGATGAGTTTTGCGCTCGAATCAGCAAAAAGAACTGGTAGAATAAGCTGTAACATTCTTTAACTTCTCGAACATCACCGTAATCAGGTCAGTTTTCCATCATCTATGAGATACTACTTTTGTGGCAGCCGGCGTGGAGCAAGTTTACGTGCACGTGCATAGAAAAAATGGGCCTGCACAAGAATTGTATGCAAAGATGGGATTCAAGGTACCGCTGCGATTCCTTCTTAGAAGGTTTTGCTGGCATGTGATTTGACTTCATGCCCGAAAGAACCAATCTGACTCTTTGCATTTACCATCAGATGGTTGAAGAGGCAGCTGCACAATTGGTAGAAGAGCAGACGTGCTTGCTCTGTCTGCAGATTTGAACAGTGCTGCTGCATAGATACTCGAAGTTTTTTCAGTTCTGAACCCGGAAAGCAAGGTTGTAAACAAGTGCCATGAAGCGAGAATTATGCTTGCTTTGCTTAGATTTGTCTCACTCATAAGTTAGTTATTAGCCAAAGATCTCTTCCAGAAAAAGAGAATAGAAAGACAGGAGCGGGCGTCTGATCAAATTCATTTGTGGCAACAAGCCAAATCGTCCTCAAGAATCAAGAGTTTCGTCCACGGCATGGGCACGACCTAATGTCAGTCGAAAATCCTGAACTACAAAGAAAAAGACACTTAACCAGAAGCAATGTCGAGCTCGTGTAAGGTCATTTGAGTCCATTTGCTCTTGAGAGGATTCAAACTCATTGAATTTGAGTAGAAAAATTGCTCCGAGGCACATTGCATTTATGCTTAGGTATTCTTTTTATCAGAAGACTTGGGGAATACCAACGAAGTAATTGTTTGATTGGATTCAACGTGACAAACTTCAAACAGGTGCAACAGTGCACGTCACCAGAGGGAGTCATGCTTGTATGGGAAGTAGGCCGCTTATTGCATTTGAGAAGACATTTCGTGCTGAAGCACATTCCTCACGACATTTGTTCCTTGCAAACGTCACCATCTCCCAGATAAGTTTAGGGTCGTCTGAATGCTCATCGGCTACTCACCGGTTCCAGGGGATGGAAGCACTTGCAAACAGGAGTAAATAACATCACCTGGAATTGGGCGACAGTGCAGAAATCATGTCGCGTGGTTTAGCAGATTCATGAGTACAGAGGAGATTATGCCATAAGTTCCGAAGTATATTCATTAACTACTACAACCCCCTATATAAGTTTGAATTAAATCCTCCATCTCATGAGCTTGTTGTATTCACAGACACACACAATGTCATGACTTCTGACAAGATAGCATGACATTATTTGAGGTCAACGCCTAAGCATAATCTTCCTGTCTAAACATTTCGTATGCCTCCAGGAAATTGCACTTCTTGCAATGCCAGATGCCATAATCTAGGAAGCAAATGTTGAATTAAGCATGCTCGCACTCATAAAACCATCATTGCAAAACAGGGTTACTTCTCATTGCATGTAGAAATTGCAGAAATAGTAAAAGGGAGAATGCCCAATTGGGGTACTATGATATCATGAGAATGTTCACCGTCAATACAGTCAGCACTCGAGTGCTTGCGCAGTGTTCAACCAAGGCTTCTACTTCGAAGGTCAAGAAGCATAGATTCCAAAAATGCTAATGCTTCCAGAAAGTACCATTGATCAGCATTTTGGTTAGGTGAAGGATGCTGAGGGGTCATGTCACAAACGAAACAAAAAGATCTTGTATCCTCTGTTCAAAAACTTGGTTCTAGATTTTGGCAAATCTATGGAAAAAAAAATTGCTGAAAGAAGCCACTCAGGAATATCGCAATAGACCTACAGTCTCAGGAACATTGAGGTGCTCTAAAATTGGCGACAGTCTCAACCCAATGATGTGTACATCAGGATTTGCATGGCCGTCTAGAAATGCATCAGTGATCTGCAAGGGAACCCGTGACACCATAAGTTAAACCTAGAAATCCAACTCAAGCACTTGCTTTTTACACACCTGAAAAATATGTATAGGACGGAGATCTGGAATTTCCAATTTAATAAATGAACTCCAGCCTCTATCACTCACAGTCGACAGAAATTCTCACCTGACTGCATCCGAAAACTTTAAGTTCCTTCAACGATGAGCAGCTATCCACTATTAAGCCCATGGCCTCGTCTGTCAAACTTCGACACCAGGACAGATCTAAAATCTGCAAATCCTTAGCTCGCTTGGCAAGTGATATGGCTGTGTTGTGTCCAACCTGACAAAAGTGATAGACATCCAAACAGAAAAAGAGAACAAATGGTATTCCATATTAACAAGGCCTCAACTCACAAGTGTGCAATATTTATCAAGACACTTCTAAAGCAAAAGAGAACAAGCTACCTTCTTGACATTATTGAGTGAAAGTTCTTCCAACCGTTCTCCAGAAGTTTCCAGAAAAGCAGCAGTAGCTTCATCACTTCCATGCATCAGAATAAAAAAAGCAATATGACGATTAGTACCTCCAAAATCCAGAGATTATAAAAGTCCTGATTAGAACAAAAGCTAACAACAGGCCTCTAATGCCCGAAGAGCTTGACAGCAGCATTAATGATCATTATTAGATCCACTATAAAAATAGACTATTTTGTCTGTTAAGATCCCAGTGTCTACTTGAAAGACATGGAAAACCCAAGAAATCTTGTATATAGCAAATCCATCGAACTAGAAGAACATCAATCTCCAATATCATCGTGTAACTTGTCATTAAATGCATCATCCACCACAAAATGCCTAAACTTATAAAAACAATTGAGCACACAGGCTTGCACACAGAGAACTATCCTGTGCACAAGGTTAGTCATGATACCTGAAAGTGTTACGCCGGAGAATAAGTTTCCGAATTCCTTGACAACCATTTGCAAGATGCCCAATTGCAGCATCTGACAATTTGATCAGGTTCACAATGTCGAGGGAAAGTAACCCAGGACACATTTCAGCAATGACCTTGAAGGAGGCGTCAGTCAAATTCCTACACAATTGGTGAGTATTAACAAATCTGGGATAATCTGGGATAAAATGCCACGGAAAAGGAGAAACAACTACCAAAAGTACAAACACTTACGGGCAATCACCCAAAACAAGCTCCTTCATATGATGTCCTCGTACAAAGATAAACTCTCTGATAAAATCATCACATACAGACTGCATGCCAGCTACGGACAAAACTTCCAAATGTTCAAACTTCTTCAAAGCCGGTAGAGCGAGCATAGCATTAATGCTTTGGCAGTCATCTATAAACAATTCCTTTAAAACTGATCCCAGTGTGTTGGCTAATGTTTCAACACTGGTGGAAGTCAGAAGGGAACACTGATTGAGATTTATGGATCTAATTGCCGGTGCAGCAGAAACGAGAGTCCTTAATCCAACATCAGTAAGACGGCATGCGCCACTGATAGATATAGTAGATAAGGCAGTCAAGCTATTTGCTGATTTTGCTAATGAGGAAGATATAATGTAGTCTGCCAGACAGCGCCCACACTGGTTAAGTTGTAGAACCTGAGCCAAAAATGAGAGTCAAATGGAGAAAGCAGATTCAAGCAATGCTCTATCAAAGATATACAGAAGTTCTGAACCCAAAGTCAGTAATATTTATTATCCCCACTACACCAACAAACCAAAAAAAAGGCAAGAGAGAAACATATCAATTTTTGCCAGCAAGGATTTAGACGTCTTCTCAACAGAAAAAGAGGTGACAGAGAAAAGGAACAATAAAATGATACTGCGTCCTTTCCTAGGGACAGGACAATCCAATAAGCAATCTACTAGAAATAACAAGCACAGCGAACATCAAAATCATATACATAATTTTTTTTTGGTCAAACATATGTATCCATTGTCAAGTTACATATTCAAATGCCAATGTTTATCCTTCATCTCTGACACACACAATTACAGATATAAGTACCTATGTAAGAAAATATGTTTTTCCAGATGACTTGGAGGAGAGTATGTTAAAACAATTCACTTACTGAAAGAACTTCAATTATGTAAAAGATGGAAGTCGCATAGACCAAAGAATGAAATACGCCAGTGACAGGAGTCTAGTGTGGTATAGTACAGCGAGGAGGAACCCCATCTCATATAGGAATATATCCAAATTTTAAAAAAAACTAAACACCTTAATATTCATGTTTGTCCGCAATAGCATCATCACTACAAACAAAATTCCCCAAAAGCAAGTTCACATACTTCTTTGGGCATCAGACCACAAGATAACACAGACCAAGGAAAAGAAAATCCTTGTCTTTAGGGACTAAGTAATTCATTCAAGAGACCCCCAACATCCTCAAATCACACATTCTAGCCAACCAGTCAGCAAAGACGGATACAGGTCAAAGACAGTCAGAATATGATTGGCATTTGGTTGTGGCATGATCTAATTTCAAAGACTACCAATCTTTAAAAGTTAAGCTTCCTATGCAATCTAATTACTTAAAAAAACCTTTTAGGCACGACTCACAGAAAACTCCTCTAGTCTAGCACGGATGAGTACCACCAAATCATCATTCTTGAGCTAAACTGATGAGTGAGTTTGAAAAGCACCATATAATAATTCATCATAGAGTCACATCGGTCAACAAACTAACAAGCATAATGATAAGACAGCATACCGACAGGCCACTAGTATCACATTCACTGAAAGATTTAACAAACTGTTCCTCAGTCAGCCACGAACAATCCCTTATGCATAACTCAGTCGGACATCCTTGGATAAGTAGGTCAAAAAAATGAGCATTAATTCTCCTGGAATCACATAACAACTGACACAGCCTGTGCCTCAGTGCATCTGGGACACCTTCAAGTGAACTAATTGCATCAACATTGTCAGCAAGGACTTTTATGCACAGTTCTTGCAGCGAAGGCGGCACTGGCTTTATGAGTTCACGACCTTGATCTTTTCTTGGAACCCATTTTATGACAGGAGACTTGGATTTCTCCAAAGAGGAGCGTGTCTGCTGTGCACTCAGCTTAGATGAGCGATCCATAATAATCTTCATGGCAGTGGAGAATGGGCCCGGCCAATCTTCAGGGTCCTGATGTGCTTCTACAGATGCCACTTCCGCATTTCTTTCAACCTCTAGTGTCAAATTGCTCTCTTCCGCCTCTTCTTCAGGGTTGAAATGAGCAAACCGCGATGCATTTGACTTTGCTATCTCCTTAAACCTTTCCCTCTTATCAAGTACCACGGCTTCGTTTAGCTTCGCCCTGGTCCTCCTTGACGGTGTCTCAACCTGAATCCTCGCGTCGTCCATTTGGCACGTGCTATCATCCAAGACAACACTATCTTGATATGAACCTACATCACTCCCGTTGGATGGTAAGAAGTTATGCACCTCTACCAGCTTAGCTTTCCCTTTTTCCGCAGCACTATATTTTCCTCTCCTCCTCACGTCACCAATTCCATCACACCCGCTTTTCAAAGATAGACTCGTACCAACGTTGTCGATCGATATACCCTTTCCTTTATCCTCAATCCTATTTCTCTCTTTGTCCCTAACAGAACCGTTTACAATCTCCCTCAGGTCTACACCAAAAAGCTTCACCTCAACGCCATCTCTAACTCTGCCAGCTAGTTCTATCTTATCATCCGCCTCCACTTCGCTTACCTTCGCCGGCTCATCGCCGCTGGCCACGAGTAGCGCATCTCTCACTTTCAATCCTCTCTTAGCAGGAATATTCCCCGACCTCAAACTCGTAAACCCCCCACATCCATCGCCCTCGGAAAAATTCATCAAATCCAAATCCACATTAAAGTCCTTTACCTCGCCGTCATCCGCATTACCTTCTCGGCGCGGCGCGTCTCCCACCGGCTCCACCGCGGAACCAATCCCCCCGCGCTCATCCCCACCGTCCAAATCCAAAACCCCAACCTTCTCATCCCCAACCGGACCGCTCTTCCTCTTGCGAGCCCCGGACGAGGCCATCCCGTCGGCGGCCTCCCCGGCCGACGCCAGGCGGAGGCTCCGCCGCCGGACTGCGCCGGGGCCGGCCGCACCGGCGCCCGGGCTCGGGACCGGGGCGGAGGACTGGGGGAGACTGGTCGGCGGCGGCGGCGGCGGCGGGGGGCTCGGCGGCGCGGGCGGGGGTGATCGGCTCGATTCCGGCCGCTCCCTTGCGTTTCTTGGGCGGGGACCCGATCGCCGGAGCTATGGCGCGGGACCGGAGGACGACCATTGGGCCGGCGGGGAGGAGGGGGGGGAGCGGCGGCGCTCTCCGTCGTCGCCGGCGCGGCGGCGAGAGAGGGATCGATGGGACCGAGAGCGAGCGGAGTTGAGAGTGAGAGCGAGCGACGATGAGAGACGAAGACAGCGACGAAGAAGAGATACGCAGGAGAAGGTGAAGGGAGATGGAGAAACGACGCGAATTTGAGGTTCTGTTTTCTTTTTTCTTTTTTCTTTTTTCCTCTCTCTTTTTTATCTTTTTTCTCGTGCGTTGATTTTTATTTTTTATTTATTTTTTTTTGGGGGGGAGATTGAAGCTTCCTTTGGAGGGCGAGGGCGAGAGACTTCGCGTTCACGGGAGTTTCCCGCCAATTCCCGAATTGCGGCTTAAAATATCTAAAATCCATGGTTAGTATATTTCATTATTATTACCGTGTCAACAAAAAAACCAAAAGTATTTATTGGTATTTCTTTATTGGGAAGAAAATAATTGGAAAATTCGTATGGTTCATAAAACGTATGTTTCTCCTTCTTCTCTTCCTTTTTTTTCGTTCTGCGACTTTTATTTTTTGGGCGATAAGTATTTACTTTATAAACTGCCTTTTAAAGCTAAGTATGAATGGAAATTTTATATAAAAAAAAAGGAGAGAGAAATAAAGTTTTGGTTGGCTCTTTTGTGGGGTTGGCCCAGATATGACCTGCTTCTTCCATAAAAAGGTCGGTGATTTTTTTTATTTTTTTTAGAAAAATTAATGGCTGTTTCAACTTAGGTAATAAGTTCCACATAAAAGAGGTGATGTTACCATGTTAACAAAAAAATAAATAAAACCAGCTATTCGATCGATTATTCTTTATTAGGAAAAAATATAATTGAAAAATTCATATGATTTGTAAAAGCATATGTTTCTCTCTTCTTCTTTTTTACTTTCCACGGCTTTTCTTTTTTCGGCGATGAGTGTTTGCTTTATAAACTGCCTTTTTAAAGTTACGTGTGGATGGTAACTTTATATATTAAAATATATATGAAGTTTGGTTGGCTCCTTTGTGGGCTATTTCTTCAGCACAAAGGTCAATAATTTTTTGCCCTTTTTTTAGAAAATTTAATGACTGTACCAACTTTGGTAAGGTTCCACACTTGTGGTCATCCAAAGCTGCCGCCCATTATTGTGCAATTAAAATATTCGCTTGTTTTTAAATTAAAAAAAACCGATTAAGGAGTTTGGGCATGGTATCACGTACGTGGTAGGAATAATTGTACAAGATCCCTCCAACTCTGGTGGCATTGCGATAATGGCTCGCGAAATTTGTAAATTCGGGGAATCAAATTCTTGAATTTCCGGACCGTGTACAATAGCCCCCGAATTTTGAAAAGTTATACATTACCCATAGGGAAAATGACACAAATAATCCCTGAACTTTGACATAATGTGTAATTTGGTCCCTGAACTTTTAATTTGTTCAATGTAGTCCCTGAACTTTAACCTGATGTTCAATTTGGTCCATAAACTTTTGATTTGTTCAATGTGGTCCCTGAACTTTTAATATGTGTTCGATTTAGTCCTTGAACTATTTGAAAATGTTCAATATAGTCTCTCCATTAATTCAAGTGCAGCTGATCTTTTCATCGACATAATTGTGAAGTGTTATAAGAAAGTGGATGATCGTAACAATCTACGTGGTATGGTCGATGAAGTCAGAAAATTGTTGATCGAGTTAAGAAAATTTAATAGATGCTATTTTGGTCAAGAAAAACGAGTGAGCCCATTCTTAGGTAACAATTGAAGGTTATGTAAACCGGAAAAGCTAGCGACCGCCGTAAAAATCAAAGTTCAAGGGGGATCACCTCTAGCGTTTCGAAATTCGGGAACTATTATGCAACGTTGTCGAGGGGTAGTTTGAGCAATTACCCCAGTATAAAAATACATCACCACTCAAAAAAAAAAATTCTCGTATATGGGTGTGTTTATGCAACCACTGGGCGACTGGGATCCCTCGACTTTGCCCCCCTTCCCCTGGATTTTGATGCATGTGCGGACACGCCGATTCAATCCCACTTTCGAGTGTCATGTCGATCCTCCCTCGCAAAAGATTTCGCGTATTTTTTCCGACCAAATTCACAAATCATTTTTTCTTTTAATCCTTGGTTTATCCATTATGCTCCATTTCCATAGAACTTCCATCTTCAAGGCTTTTTGGGGCCGGATGGGGTCGGATCGGGCAAGGTTGGGCTAGATCGAACTTTTTTTACAGCTCTATAATTTATGTAATATGAATGGCTATTCATGTAATACGAATATAACTATAGGAGAATGCATAAGTTAATGAACCGAGCGATTACATTGGATTACAAGTTTCCAATTGCCTAAATACGTCGAGTCCGTTAAAAGATTGACCATTCGGTATAAGTAATTGACAAGAATCGTGTTTAGTTCGAGCACCATGCTCTGCGGTTGCGAACTTGAGCAAGATGGTCTCGTTTAATTTTGCCAATATAGTCAGTCCGGTTAATTTTGGCTGAAAATAGCTGATGTAGCGGTCCAGTTTGTGACGGCTGTCCTACGTGTGCATCCGATGCTAACGTGGACTATTTTTTAATTATTTATAATGAATATTCCTAATTTTATTGGTTTTTTTCTTTTTTCTTTCTTTTTTTTTCTTCACAGGGTTGGCAAGCGGAGCGAGGGCTTCACAGCCCTCCTCGGTCTAGTGAATAGAAAAAGAAAAAAAAAAGAAGAAGAAAAGACGGAGAAAAAGAAAGAATAAAAAACTCACAAATTTTTTTAAAAAAATTTAAAAACTGTTCATGTCAGCAGTGACCGTGCCGCGCGGGATGGTCGGCGCCGACTGAACCGCCACGCCGGGGATTTCCGACCAAAATTAACCGGAAGGACTGCATTGATAATTCATCAAGAAGGTTTACGACTCAATTGACAAACTCTCAAAAAGGTTTAGGACTTGGCACGATTGAAAGATCGATGGCCGAATTGACAGATTATCAAAATGTTTAGGAATGAATCCGGACAATCGAAAAATTTAGGACTGAACTGAACGCCGCACAATAGAATTACGACTTTTTTTTCATCGTTTCATAATTGGAAAGTGCCGGTCATGATGGTACAACTCATGTTCAATCAAATATGATACGAGTACAGTTGGAACCCAAATCATCCCCATTATTGCATCCACCAAGGCTTTCCAGCTGCTTCTTGTCGTGACCAAATTTTCCACACCCTCTGTCCCCCCCTTCTTATCTTCTTCGAATTTGGAAAAATAAATAAAAATTTATTCATTGTTTGCAGAGACTAAACTAATAAAATACGTTCACTAAGCAATTTTTGCATTTTGTAAATATTAATTACACGTGATCCGAGAGTGTACGAAATTTCCTCTTTTTATAAGGGCACCTAAAATATGAGAAGAGCGTTAACTTATTGGCAATTTCCCAAAATGGCCCCGCCGGTCTCTGGAATTTCCTAAAAAAACCGGCTCACCGTGTGTACGCGCCGCGTAATGGGAAAAAGTCAGAGAGTGTTGACGGATTTGGAAAGGTCGAGGTGGACGGACCAAAATGCCCTCCGGGACAGCCGCCGTGCGGAGCCGCGGCGGAGGGTAATCTCGGGTTTTCGGGTACGGTCAATGTTGGCGGCGGCAACGATTCAAAAAGGCGACCCGTGTCCCGAACCCCGCGTTTTTTCCCCGGTTATTTCCGCTTTTGACATTTCATTTTTCTCCTCGAACCGTCACAATGATAACAATTTCTTTTATAAGTTCAAAAAAATAATAATTGAATTTGCTCGCTTCTTGCTGAAGATTTTTTTTTTTCTGTACATTTTTCATCCATCATTCATGAATCGCCAGAATTTTTCTTGTTTTTAATTATAAATAAAGAATTTTACCGATGAATAATATCCTGAATCGACTTTAGCACGTGATGAGATGCACCTTTAAGACGTGATAAAAAAAAAAAAGGGAGGTCATTTAACCATGGAACCGTGAGAGGAATAGCATTTTGCTATTTGATTTATCGTGAGGCCATCTCGAGTCAAAGTAAAGAAAATAAAAAGTCGGTATGGTTTTCCAATCGCCTCATCAGCTCGACCGATATTTTTTTTTCGGCGGCCCTTTTCGACACGCGGCGACTTTATTCACTTTTTAGCCGCTCCACACCGCTAAAAGCGATTTACCGCTAAATTACCCGAGTAACTCGAAAAGGGAATTATTAAACATGCCGGATGAACGGAGGTGAGGGCAAAATGACAATAGTCCTTGTGCTTGTACAAATTTTCCCTCTTTCGTTTTTTTCTTTGCCAACTATTATTATTTTTTTTTTAAAGAAAAGGGAACGACCAAAGGCAGTCCCTAATGCGACTCAATGGAACAGCTGCGGATGTGACACACAATGTTGGGCTTGGTACCATGTTTTGACCACTCGCGTTGCGCTTGGTCTTGTGCACAGGGCAGCATGAGCAAGCTTCCAAAAACCTTTGAATTCTCAATCCGCTGTAGCTTCTTGTGGCTTCCATTTGTCCAAATCCTCTTTGCAAGCTCATCATGATCTTTTTCTTTATCGGGTTTCTTTGTTGCCCCTTTCGACTTCGTAATTAGTAGCCACCAGTGACCTAGCCGAAAGCCAAATCGCCGGTCATTTTGGCGATCTGTGTAATAAGTTAAGTAAAAACCGCAATCGACGTAGTAGATCAGGGATTGCAGTCTTGGCACTCATCCGACCGGAGAATGTCGATCGCGCGGTACGAAAGTCGAGTCATCGACAAAATTTATTTTCTCGCGCATGAGTTGTCGTGCGATTTGACATTCTCTCTTTAAAGGCTATATTGGCCTTTGCTAATTTACATCCCCGTTGAATCTATAGAAAGGCCTCCATATAAAACTGTCATTCATGCCTAAAAAGTTCTTAAGGAAAACTCTTTTTTTTATGGAGTTATGTTTTGTTTCCTTGAAATAAAAAAAATATTGCATATTGTTAGTAGGATACTCGTCTTTTTACGTAAAATACACGTACATACATGATGTTTTCAATAAGATTCATGTCTTCCATATGTTTGCTTAATTTGTCACAGGCGTATTAGTCCAGGATTTAATTTGGAGTAAATTTATCATACATATATTAATTTAGAGTTTTTCGTAATATTATTTTTTTTTTCTCAAAAACCGCATTGATTATTATTACAGAGGGCGAGACAAGAATTCTGTGTTGACTCGCAAACGCCAGACGACCTCATCATCGATCTTCTCCGACCTCCGACCTCCTCGAAAATTTCACTGCAACCAGTCTCGCATTTCAAGATCTCTCTCTCTCTCTCTCTCCACGCTTCTCGTTCGCCAATGATGGTGTCCACCTCCTAAAGCCATTTCTCTCGCACGCACGCACGCACTCTCGGGAGTCGCGGACGCCGGGTTCAGGAACGAGGGATGGGCCACCACCACCACCACCCGCACGGCTCCGACGACGGCGACGGCGTCGTCTCGCAGCGCGTCAACAGCCCCCGGTTCAGCGGCCCCATGACCCGCCGCGGCCACTCCTTCAAGCGCGCCTCCTCCGCCGCCGCCGCCGCCGCTCAGGCCAAGGACCCGACCGGCGCCGGCAGCCTCAACTGCACGGCCGCGCTTCACGAGGTTATCGATCTCCAGATCAACTCGCCCAGATCTGAGAACGGGAACGTCCATGGAGCGGCCGCTTTCGATTTGGCCGTCGATAGGAAGCAGACCCACCATCGGTATAACCTCAGGGAAAGAGTGGGCCTGTTGAGGAAGCCGATGGAGTACGTTGTCGGGGACCTGGGATCGAAGGAAAGGAAGAAGCTTGGGCACCTGATGTTCCTGCTCTTTTGCGGGGTTTGCTTGTTTCTGGGTGTTTTGAAGATTTGCGCAAATGGGTGGTTCGGATCTGCCATCGAAAGAGCTGAATCGAATGGGGTTAGTGGGCTGGCTCATCTGCTTACTTGAGAGTGAAATAAAAAAGCTTTTGGTTATAGGTTTTAGCTAATTTTAGGATGATTTAGGTGAAGAAGAAGAAGAAGTGGTGTTCCCTATGTTAAAATAGGTTGACTAAATCAATGGAAAAAGAAAATTTGTTGGCTAAACTATCGATTTTGGATAGTTTATTGGGTTATCTAAATTTGTGGTGTTCTCTTACTTTGTCCTTTTGGGTTAAACAAACTGAGTGGAAACTTGACCCATACGGATTTGCCTCTGTAGGGGAATTTAATTTGAGGATTGTTTATTATCAGGACGAAGGGAGAGATATGGGTGGCACAAGTTTATTGCTATCATCAATTCCTAATTTCATGACCTAATTGTAACCTCAAAGTGCTTTTTTTTGGCCAAGAAACTAAATTTGAAGTGCTTAGAATGGACTTTATCCTCTGCGTGTCTCTGTCTATTTTGATGCTTTTCCAAGGGCTTAAGAATTTTCTTCCCTCTGCTTGAAGGTGTTGAGTCTGGTAGACTGGGGTGGCACGAGGTACTAGTAAAGAGCATCATCAAGTCTATATTTGTCTTTCTAGTACTTTGCCTGAAAAAATCAGGGGCCTGCATATCTTGGGAAAGTGCATTGACCTCAACTTGTTGTGGCCTATGATTAGGCCGTGTGGCCATGTGTTTTCAATGTAGGTAGCGGCACGCTCAGTTCGATGGGAAATTAATGAAAACTGGTTGTTTCATTGTTAATTTGCTACTTTTTTTATTCTGGTTTATGATAGTCTTCAACAACAAGCTTGAGTTATAACGGTCTTATACATGTGCTTGTGCTCGTATATTGTGTTTCTTCTCACCAGATCTATTCTCTTATTAGGGTCTCTATGATCAGTCGGCTGCTCTTCAAATTCTGATCAATCAAAGGACCTATCCTGATTATGATCGTAGGGAAGAAGGAAGTGACGTTGATATAACTTTAATGATGGTAACATCTGGTGTTGTTGGTGACAAAAGCACGGCAGATGTAAGTATTGGTGCTGGTGTGATGCTCACTTTTCACTCATTTGAGATTTGGTTGTGAAAATGAGACGTGGCAGAAAGCCTCGATGCTATAGAATTCTCATTTAAGACCATTGGTTTTTGGTCTTTCACGAGACTTAACTTTTTCCATTTGAAACTTTGGTTTGTTCAGTATTCAGAGATCTGGTCCAAGCCCAACAGCGAAAACTTTAACCAATGCATTGGTCTGCCAAGAAGTCATAAAAGTAAGGAAGCTGTCATGCTTGAACGAAGTTCCACATCTGGTTATGTGCTCTTCTGTTTTCTCCATGCTTTTCGCAACTTACAACTCTCACTTTCCTTTGCAGAGCTTGATGCAAAGACGAATGGTTACATTCTCATTAATGCTAATGGTGGCTTGAATCAAATGAGATTTGGGGTCTGGTCACTGTCTGTATGGTTTTTTTGAATGATCTTCTAAAATTAATTCGAGTTATAATGACATCAATTGTTTTAGAGTGCAGATCTGCGATATGGTTGCCATTGCCAAGGTTATGAAGGCGACACTGGTCCTTCCTTCACTTGATCACACATCTTACTGGGCTGATGATAGGTTGGTTTGTTTACTTTTCTCAATTTGGAAGCTACCATTGGAAACACTCGTCTAACGCTTATTATCTTGTCAAGAGGGACAAAATCTGATGCTTATTGTTTCGTCAAAAGGAACATTATATGTTTGTGGTAAAAAGCAGAATCCCTAGTTCATTTTCAAGTTCTATTAGGGTACTAGAAAAGTTCCTCCCTTTAGATTGATACTCACTCTTCAAATAAGAGGGCATGATTGCCGAATAGTTTTCTTTTCCATCTTTGTGACCTCCTTGTAAATCAGAAGTCTTATCAGCACTATTATTGCTTCAGTTAGCATAATAATTCTATGGTTCAAGTCTTTTGTAGTTGGGTACGTATACCTAATTATAAATGGCTTGATAATCTTTTGTCTGCTTGCCTTTTTTAACAAGCTATTCTGAAATGTACGAGATGATACCTCTCAAAGTAGCACAAGTACTTCCATGGCATGCATTTCCATTGCTGTGATCTCACTTCTCTTCTCTTCATATTTGCAGTGGCTTCAAGGATTTATTTGATTGGCATTACTTCATTGACACACTAAAGGATGATGTCCACATAGTTGAGAGTCTACCTCCAGCCTATGCAGACATTGAACCCTTCAACAAAACACCAATTTCTTGGTCGAAGGTGAAAGAATAATTTCTGCCTGTTCTATGAATTGCCATTAAGATATGCACTGGTCTGAAACTGGGGCAGTGTACTAAATTCAGAGAGCGAAGGGATGAATGCAAAGTTCGCTACTAGAAATTCTCTTTAACAAATAGAAGATCCTAAACTTCAATATCTTTCTCTTTTTTTCCTCCTCCTTTATTTTCTTTGTTACAAAAATGTGTGTTTCAAAAAAATTCGCATTCTATCGTATCTTCGGCTTTCCATGTGTCTCCACCAGTTCAAGGACTAATGTTTTACTTTTCAGGTCAGTTACTATAAGGTAGAAGTCCTCCCACAACTGAAGGAGCACAAAGTGATGTATTTTACTCACACTGATTCTCGGCTTGCCAACAACGACATACCCAATTCTATACAGAAGTTGAGATGCCGTGTCAATTACCAAGCATTGAGATATTCAGCACCGGTTGAAGAGCTTGGGCAAACCCTGGTTTCGAGAATGCAACAAAATGGAGGTCCTTATCTAGCTCTCCACTTAAGGCAAGTTCAGATTAATCCATTCTTTATGAATATGATGTTCAGTTTAGATGTAATGTAAGATAATAGTTACAATTTCCCTTTTAGGATTCTGTCAATGAGGCGAGGGAATGGTAATTCCAATAAAAAAATAGCATTTTGAGTATTAAGCGACTTATTGACTTCTTCAGTACACTTAAAATGGGGACTAAGTACTGGTTGGTTGTCCTTAGTATGGGTTAATAGTCAATTCAGGAGCACGATGTGAAATATTCTCTAAATAAGGAGTTCCCTGTGGGATTTAGTTTGCTATGTGGGACTTTGAGATCTATATACCACACAAGTCGGTGCTTTGTCTGTCTAAGTACATTCCTCTCGACAAGTTTTAGACCAGGTTCAGTGTTGCTGAAGAAGTGGTGTTGAATTAGTCTTTGTTGGAATCACAACTCATGTTTTATTGATTCCTCACAGGTATGAGAAAGATATGCTGGCATTTACTGGCTGCAGTCACAGTTTGACAGCTGAGGAGGACGAGGAACTACGGTTGATGAGATATGAAGTAAGTCATTGGAAGGAGAAAGAGATTAATGGAAAGGAGAGGAGGTTACTTGGCGGCTGTCCATTGACTCCTAGGGAGACTTCGCTTCTGCTAAAGGCTCTTGGATTCCCGTCTAATACCCGCATTTATTTGGTGGCTGGTGATGCTTATGGAAAAGGAAGTATGCAATATCTGAAGGACGAATACCCCAACATATTTTCACATTCGACTCTGGCAACAGAAGAAGAGCTTGCTCCTTTCAAGAATCATCAAAACATGCTTGCTGGTATAGATTACATCGTCGCCCTTCAGAGCAATGTGTTTCTTTATACTTATGATGGGAATATGGCGAAAGCAGTTCAAGGCCATAGGCGGTTTGAGAATTTCAAGAAGACAATTAATCCAGACAAGTAACTATTATCTGTTCCTACTCTTTTCAGTTAGTCTGATGTATTTTATTTTTCTTCCCATTTGATATTTGGTTTTGTTTCTGTCCTGATATGGATCATCAACAGGCATCTCATCTTCATCTCCCCTTTGTCCATGCAGGATGAATTTTGTTAAACTGGTTGATGAACTAGATGAGGGGGAGATTTCTTGGAAGAAATTCAGTTCCAAAGTGAAGAAACTTCACAGAGATCGAACTGGAGCTCCATATTTGAGGGAGCCCGGGGAATTCCCAAAACTAGAGGAAAGTTTTTACGCAAATCCGCTTCCTGGGTGCATTTGTGAATCAACAAAGAGAAGGAAGTAAGGGTAAGAAGAGAAGTGTTCCTTTTTTCTGTGATGCAATTCTGGGTGCATGAGAAAGAGATGAAAGCATGCTGTCAAGGTTCAATACATCTTCTCAGCCTAAAGATGCCAATGGTAAATCAGAAAGTTCCTTAGCCTAGTGCTCGGGTCGGTATTACATTGGCGTCACTGAGCTGCTGAAGTTAAAAGGCCGCTCAAGGGATTCTGGTAAATAATTTATTCAGAAGAAAATTTACAGAATACCATCGAAAGAAAGATTATGAGACCTTGGTGCCAAAAAAAAGAAACAAAAAGGTATAAGTCTTCTCTGTTTAGGGGATTGGAGATATCCCATGAAGTAAAATTATTTTGAATTCGATTTTGTGGCATAGAAGACCTTGTAATACTCAAAATTACTCATAATGAAAGATCTCTGTTCTTTATCTTTATCCGGAATATTTAACTTTGAGTCTTCAAAATCTGGTTTGGGTTCATCCCATATTCGCATGCAAGGCTGTTCTTTCACTATCAATTGCAGTTCTATGCTTATCATATCTGGTTTAGGATCGTCCCATATTCGCATGCAAGGCTGTTATTTCACTATCAGTTGCTGTTCTATGCTTATCAACAGTATCTGGTTTCGGTTTATATGAAGTCGGCACGGAGCATGCGAATGCCATGCATACTTTCTAGCATAAATCTACAGGGTCTAAACACTGAGCCATTTATTTAGTGTTTTTTTCCATCCTCGGGATGCGGGAGAAATAACTTGAATAGCTGGGGTAGTTTCTTATGAGACTATCAGTAAATTCTGGTCTTAGCACGAGATTGTGGAAGGGAAATACTTTTCGTAATGCAATGCCAACCCGCGATTATGTTTCTGAACATTCAAATTCAGAGTTTGAGAGTGATTCAGATGGAAGATTGTCTAAGTTTCGGGGTACTGAGAAAAGGAGGAACTTGAACTTCTGTAGGAACCAATTCTAATTATGCCGCAGAGAATTGCGAACTGACATGCTGTTTCAAGCATTTTCTATCAACAGACGAGCAAAGGGACGAACCCTTTTGCCATAGAAGGATCACAAAATCCTCTGTATGCACAAAAACTGCACTGAATGACATCGGGAGACCCAACAGTTTTGTTGTTTGATGTACAGAATTTACACCAAATAAACACACTGAAGACAAAGTGATGAACTGAATCAAGATATCTCATTCCCAAAAGACAAAAAGAAGTTCGCCAAAAAATCTCAATCTAGATACCCAAAAACAAGGGGGAAAAGGGAAACAAGAAAACAAAAGGATAAACAAAACCCCCCACCACTACAACTGCAGAATAGATTCGACGAGTTCATTAAGCGGCGCAAGCTCCTCTTTGTTGATCAACCGAAATTCCTGCATCAAATTAAAGCCAATCAAGAGTTGCATCAGAAGTCTTTTTTGTACTAGACTCTCATTGTAAAGCCAATAGCCTAACTAAACTGCTGCTTGTGACCCATTTATATAGCATTTGAAGGTGTTTCCTTGACCCAAACTTAAGACTAAGAATATATCATAGCCAATCTGAAAAGTATGACAGAATCACATGGGTAAAGTCATATCTGCAATATGACCAAAAAAAAAAAAGTCATATCTGCAAAGCTTAGCGACTATGCTTACTTACCCATGTGAAGAGAACGAAATGCTTGAAGCAAGTATTTAGATGAGCTTCCTCCTTCAAGCTCACGATCTTCTGAAAATGCGAGTGGTAGATATGGGCATAGACACGGAACAAGCGCTTGACAATGGTTTTGACGACTTCTTTGAAATTGCTCGGAAATGGAGCTCCTGTAAACATGTCAGCAGGGATAACTCAGTGCTTATGTAGTACGGAGCAACTGACAAATGTATTAAATTTCTCTATGTTTTGACTAGGAGGTTAGCATGGATCTCCAGCTTCATCAAGATACTTATCTTACCTAATTTTTGTGGGAAAACTGATTCATCGTCAAGCTGAGCCTCAATCCAGTCCATCAAATACTCGACGTACTTAGGAGCCGACACCTCGATGGGTTTCTTAATGGTCACTCCATCGGCCCACCTGTACTCGTATCTGCAAGAGTTCATGTAGTCTCGATCAGGCCTTCTGATATCATTGTTCGAAGCTAAAGGGATTGGAAAAAAAGAAAACTGATTCTAAGCGAAAAATGAGCTTCATTACAGAGATCAAGATAAAACAAATAACAATAACCATCTTCTTTATGAATATAAATGGAACAAAGATTCTGAGGATTGACCATCTATGTGCAAACAGACTATCCATAAGCAACTTCAAGGTTAAACGACTGCAACATAAGAATGGATTTTCACATGAACGAACCTGCAAATAGGCATCAAACTGATAAAGTAAACAGAAATTTTGTCAAGCAGCTTCTTACTTTGGGCCTGCGGACATTGTCGGGCAGTTAGATGGCGTGCAGAATTCAGTGAGTGTACCGTATAGAATGTTCACTTGATTGAAAAAGTCCACGGCTGTATAAAGCAAAGAACCCAGACAGAGAATTAATCAAAGGAAAAAAATTGATTGGGCTAAGCGTGCGAACGCTCATGTGCATTTGATTGTTCGACTATTCATATATTCTCGTTAGCAAATTAATAATGCAGAAGTACTCACTGTTCACTGCCAGCCACTCGTTGATGTCTTCTCCAGGGGGAAGCCGCACTGCTTCTCTCAAATTTCCACTTCCCAGTGTAGCGTCGATATGTCTTTGTAGTTGAGCACCCTAAAATTCGAATACAGGGAAAGAGGAAAACATGCGTAAATAAATTGCTTAGTTCATCCAAAGTCGATCGTTGAAGAGTAAATAATCTTAACACGAGACACCAACCTTACTTCCAGATGGAGCGCTCTTTTTAGGCCTAAAAGTCTTCTGATTTCTGCACAAGTCGTGATTGGGTACAACAACAACATGAGATCATTACAAGCGAAAAGAGGTGGCATGCCGGAGATGAGTACTTCAAAGAGCAATGAGAACAGAATTTAATTAGTTCCCATGTCCTGTTTCTCTTCTTCTTTCAATGACAATGATCATCATCCGCAAGGACATTCTGCGACTACCGGATGACGCGAGCGACTTAAACCGGCTCACTGTAACAGCTTCTTTAAAGGCTATAGAACTTAAAACTGGGGAGAAAAAATCGACTGTCCCAGCAAATAATAAACAGTCCAAAGTTCACCCAAATGGGTCCATTCTTCAATCTAATTGCACTCTCCGTATGGTCTAACATCAGATCAATGTTCAGCCGCAAACCAGGGAAAAAGAATCCACCATCACGGCAAACAATAAACAATTCAAAGATCACCAAACTGTGTTCATTTCCTAACTAATTGCCTACTCTGTACGGTTTAAGATCAGATCAGTGTTCAGCCAGAGAGTTTCCGGTTCCAGAAGCAGGCCCGGTATCGGCATTAACTGCTGTTGAATGTTCCGAAAATTGGAAGAGAGAACTAAAAACACTCCCGACGGTCCGAATTATCATCACAAACTACGCGCCGACATCATCTGCAGCGGACCCACGATGAATCTCTGGAAACGAAAGAAAATAAAAAAACGAAAAAAGCCGACGTTTTTCAGCGATCATTTCGAGCCCTCTATATTACAAGAACATCGCCGCTCCATCTCATTACCATATCCAGCACACAGACAGGTCAAGAACGAAAACCGATTGTTACCCAAATCAGGCTCCGAGACACACATCCAAAACGCACGATCGTTACGCAAAGAAAAACATGCAGCGACAACAGCAGCATCAAAAGAACATCCCCCCTCCCCCACAGAAAAAAGAAAAAGAAAGAAACAGCAAGAATTCACGTTGAGAACCACGTCATCAAGAATTAATACGAAAAGAGAGAGCAAGAACCTGCTGCCGAGGCCAAAGAGACTCATGGTGATGAAGCGGTGCCTCCCTTTCCTCCCTCCCTCCTTCCTCCTCCCTCCTTCAAGAAGCGAAGGAACAGAGCGCCAAAGGATATCGAAGGAAAAAGACACGACGGTGAAGACGGGAAGAAAGAAGGAAAAAGAATTTGAGAGCTGGAATTGAACATGGTCGTTTTTATAGGTAGAGAGAGAGAGAGAGAGAGAGAGAGAGAGAGAGAGAGAGAGAGAGAGAGAGAGGGGGAGATGACAGGCTGTCATGAGAGAGAGAGAGAGAGAGAGTCTCCGTCTGTCTTCTTGGCCAGCAAGAGTCTTTCCATGTTTTCCATTTTGTCTTCCAATCTGCTTGCTGGTCTGGCTGGCTCTTTCCCTCGTCCTCCTGTATTTTCCTTTCTTTTCATTCCCCTTCAATCAAATCTTTGGACCGTCTCCATCGCTTCCCTTCTTCTTCTTCTTCTTCTTGTTTTTTCTTTTATAATACCACGAAAAACCCTAAATTGATACATCTATAACAAATTTACCCAAAACTAAAGAACCCCTAAACTGATACACCCGTGACAAATTTACCCTCTATTAATTTCCGTTAAATTTTACGGTCAAATTGCTAAGTTAGATGACACGTGGCAGTTGATGGGTATACCGGTTTGGGGTTTTGCCCCTCCATTTGGCACATGTTTTACTAATTTGTGGTTTTTCGTGGTATTAATTCAATTTAACATATGGTAAATTTGTCGCGGGTATACCAATTTAGGGTTTTTTATGGTCAAAAAATTAGTTTGGAGTAAATTTATCGCAATTGTACTAGTTTAAGGATTTTCGTGATATTAACCACTTTTTGTTAATTACTTACATTGGATAACCTCAATTTTAGGTAGTTAAGAAGGTCAGAACCTTAAAAATATCCCATTAATCTCCCGGTTTAATTAAGACGCGATCGAGTTTAAGCTCAGAGAAACCGATTTAGGCATATGGAATTGTCTTGCGCTTGACATGTGGAGTTTGCCAACGTCTCAGACTCTCCTTTGAGGACTTTGTATCGGTCGAGCGTGCCGTGGTTTTCTGTGCGGCAAATTTTGTTATTCGGACCTCGAGCTAATTTAGAATAGAGAGGTAAGTCTTGCATGCTCCAGATCCATCGCAGCCGTCGAATACTGATATGGGATTCCACGAGATCGATGGCTGTGATGTCCTCTCAAGATGGAGAGAGAGACAGAGCGGAGAGAGGATCAAGACAGGTGGCGCCAGCCGATTGGTTGGGATGGGCAAGGGAGTACGAGGATTTGGGGAGAAGCAAAGGTGGCAATGCACACCAAAACCATGATGGGAATGATTTCAATGATTGGGGGGGATTAGGTACAAAGGGACAGATCAATCCTGGTTTTGGGAAAGTGGGAGTTAGGATAATGTCTGCTTCCTAATCTTTACAATATTCCTCCAATTCCAACTAGCTTTTCGATTTCCCCCTTTTTTTTTTTTGGCTTGCTCTCTCTGTTTTTTTTTTTTCCTTTTATGTGAGAAATAACATCCCAAGTATTTTTGTGCCGCATGGTGAACTTAACTTAGGTGCAGCGTGTGTGGTGGGTAAGACGTGTTCTTTCCTGGGGTTTACCTCCCACTGTCGGTAGTGCGGGATTCCCTGGGTCATCAAAAAAAAAAAAAAAACATCCCAAGTATTTTAATTTTATCGCCCCCCATGAATAAGTTTTTATTTTGCACAAATTTTTTTGTGGCTTTCAAGATGTACGTCACCTAGATAAAATTTGGTCAAATCCTGACTTATTCATCAACCATCCTTTTGTTCAGAATTTTCTTCCTGACATTTAATTTTTATTTTTATTTGTAATAAATAAGGTTGGTCATGGTACGACAGAAAATGGTCAATTTTGGGGGGTGGGTCCGGGATGTGGCAATGCATTAAGGCAACCAGCTGTATACGCACATACATTCAACATGATATGTATGCGCGGGACTCAGCAGGTGTATGCGTACTGAGATGCAAAACAAGAAAATCATTCAAGTTGATCCAAATCAAGGCTGAGCTGGTCATTCACCTGGCCCCACCGAGATAGAGTTCCCTCTTGTGGTTCTGGTGAGCTAATACAGTTGTTCTAATAATAATAAGGACAAAAGCCGCTAAAAATCCTAAAATATACTCACCGTGACATATTTATCCTAAACTTTTTTTTTTTGACATCCTAAATCCAAAACTTATACCTGTACGATACATTTGCCCTCCATCATAGTTCTATTAATGAAAACCCGATGAAAATTTGCCTACACGGACGCCGAAAAGCAAACAGTGTGACATGGCACCCACGTGGCTTAAGTAAAATAAAAAAAAGACGTTGTTTGATTGAAAAGTCATCTAACGGAATCTTGACGGAGAGTATGTCTCACATAAATACAAGTTTGAGGTTTTAGAAAAAGTTTAGGGTAAATGTGTCAAAGTGAACATAGTTTTGGATTTTTTATGTCAAAAAAAGAGGCTCAGAATAAATGTGTCACGCATAACTTGGGGTTTTTTTTTGGCTTTTTTCCCTTATTATTATCATGGGCTAAGTAAGAATGTAATTGTTGAGCAGTGAGCACCAGTTCAACACCAGAAGGATATGGGGCTGCAGAAAGTAAGGTTGACCTTTTGAATTGACCGCTTTGGAAATTTCCCAAGTTAAAAAATGAGTAGGATTTTTTTCTTACCCAACTTGTTTCTTTCCCGACGGATAGAGAGCATATGGGGATTTTCCATTTTCAAGGTGTCATTAAATGAGATTTGACCTGAGAATATGTTTCCATGTGTAGAACAGTGGGAAAGTGAGAAAGGGCTGAAGAAGGGAAACGGTTACATACCAACTCATAAATCATAAATACTCCTAGTGAAAATGACTTTGTGTTTAATGATCTGCCGTTTTAAAACGAAGTCCCGCTTCATTTTTCTTCACAGAAGTTTTGTTTGGTCACTGTGGTAGGCTGCCTTGTAACTTTCTGCACGGTCGTCTTGCGATTCATGAGCCGAAAAGAGGCTGTACGGTCGCCTTCCGAGTCACGTGAATGTTTTACTCGTCCTTCTCAGCTGTCGCATTACGCATGATTTTTCGTGGCAGAAGCTTGAAAGGTTTTAAATTTTTGGAAACTCTTCTCTCTCTCTCTCTCCAATGAGAGACGAGCTTCTTTCGGCATATCTGTTCTGTTAGTAACTTGTATCAGCAAGTCATTGCAATGAAATATCTTGCTCACAAGTCCTGACATTTTCTCCTTATATTGTGTGATGAAGTATTCAATTCAGCGAGAGATAATCGTAGATTGATCTTGTTAGCTTACGCGTAAATTCATAACCAGCCACACATTGATCATAGTTGTAGCCTCGCATGGATTAGTCTTTCCGGTGCATATATGAATAATTTCGCATTTCTAAGGGACGAAATGTTGAGATACGTACTGATAAGTAGCTTTCAGCTCTGATTTCTTCCAAACCATGGGTTTCATTTTCATTAAAACCTTCTCCTGCTGTAATTACGGGTTGAACAAACTTTGATTACCATCTGTTAAAATATAAATGTCCTCCTGATGTTTCACTCTACATGAATGTCGAAACAGGATCGGGAGTCCGAGAAATGGCGTCACTTCGCAGAGTCTTCGCAACGTCGATTTTGGCATCTGTCCTCAGCCAAGTTCTCACTGCAACTGCACAGCCCGCCTTTGGCGTTTGCTATGGAATGCTAGGAGACAACCTGCCTACTCCGGCTGCGGCGATACAGCTCTACAAGAATCACAACATTGGGACAATGCAGCTCTACGATCCCAACCCCGAAGCACTCCAAGCTCTAGGGAACTCCGGCATCAGCGTGATCTTAGGCACAAAAAATGAAGACCTACCCAACTTGGCATCAAGTGTGGAAGCTGCCAAGTCGTGGATTGACGCTCATGTTTTGCCCTACCAAGGTGTCAACATCAAGTATATAGCCGTAGGCGACGAGGTCATCCCCGGAGAATCGGCTCAGTGCGTGTTGCCTGCAATGCAGAATCTACAAAGCGCCATCAGCGGCTCCAGTTTCTCATCTGTGGCGATGACCACCGCGGTCTCGGGGACCGTCCTTGGAGCTTCTTACCCGCCCTCAAGTGGCGCTTTCACCGGCGATGCGAAGCGCGCTTTGTCCGGCATCCTGCAGTTTCTGTCCAACACTCATGCCCCTCTGTTGATCAATGTGTACCCTTACTTTGCCTATGCTGCGGACCCCTCCAACATAAGATTGGACTATGCACTGTTCACCGCCCCGGGACCAGTGGTTCGCGATGGGGATTTAAGCTATTGGAACTTGCTCGACGCGATGGTGGATGCTTATTACGCGGCGATGGAGAGAGAGAATTTCCCTAATGTGGGCGTGGTGATCTCCGAGTCCGGGTGGCCTTCTGCTGGAAATGGGAATTTCACAACTCCACAGCTCGCGCTGACTTACAATCGAAATTTCATGAAGAAAATTGTAGCGGGGACGGGGACACCAAAGAGACCAGATAGCCACTTGGATGGTAACATATTCGCAATGTTCAACGAGGATCTGAAATCTGCCGGCGAGGAACAAAATTTTGGTCTCTTCTATCCAGATGGAACTCCAGTTTACCCCATTTTTTCGTAGCTCCGATAGTCAGAACTCATCTCCGGCACTTTATTTCGCCGTATGCTGCGGACTGTTCCGGAGATAAGATCTTATTATGTGTGTAAGTTGGAGGCTACAATGAGTATCAATAAACAATTCAATAACCGGTAAACTGGATCACCTGTCATCTGCATCTGCATTTCCAGAAAATCTTATATTTGCAGCGGTGATGCAATGAATATGGGGATTCTGATTCTGGATATATCAAAGTCAAGTCATCAACACAGAGAAATAAATCCTTTTCCTTCCCTCGTACATCTCCGTCGTTCACGTTATATTTGTTAGGCCGAAGCACTACTAGGTAAAGGTTTTGCGAAAGAACCGCCTGGCTCTATCTTCTGGTTATAGCAAATTCAATCCCACCAAGTAAAAGCAAAACACAGCATCTTATTAATCTGAACAAAAAACCTAGTCATGGACTCATAGGCGCGACAGTAATTTCCGCTTCCCGCTTTCGAGGAAAGGGTAGTCTGTGTACCCAACTACAGGATCTTGGGTATAGAAAGTCTTCCTAACATACTTGGTCAAAGGTGCATTAATCTTAAATCTCAAGACCAAATCAGGGTTGGCAATGAACAGACGACCATACGATACCAGATCTGCATCGCCATCGGCTATGGCTTTCATACCAAGCTCTTGTGTGAACCCTCCACTGCAAATAAAAGTGCCCTGATAAGTCCTTCTCCAAGTCCTCATCAGTTGGGCCTCCTCTTCCTCGCTCCCAAGTCGGCCAGATTCCGTTTGGCCATAAGCCACGTACCGTGGCTGAGTCACGTGGAGATAAGCCAGCCTTGAGCCAAGATCTAGCTGAAGCTTGTTGAGCCTCTCGATGACGGCTAGGCCCAGCTTAGGGGGGTCGGAGTCCATGGCATCGAGGTGATCGATTGCCGGTGATATTCTGACTCCGACTCGATCTGGCCCGATGGCCATTGCCACAGCTTTGACAACCTGTATTATGAATTTGCATCTGTTTCCAATGGATCCGCCATATTCATCTGTCCGGTCATTTATCCCATCCTTCAAGAATTGATCGATGAGGTAGCCATGTGCTCCATGTAGCTCAATTCCATCGAATCCTGATTCATGTCAAGAATACATCTACTTTCAGACCTCGCGAGGACCGAGTTTTTGATTTAATGAACATTAAATATTCATCATGTTTTAGTTTCTCAGCAAAAAGTATATAAAATGTGGACACTTTAACATTGAGAAACCTTCACGAAGTAGTGGCAGAAAGGATAAAGCATGCACTATGGCAAAAGTGAGTTCAGTGACGGCACCACTTTTCAACTGAAAATAATGCCATGCCTACTGATAGAGGACACACTCCTTGTCACTCAATATGTCCTCTTGTGGATGATGCTTTTTCCACCACAAAACAAGACAAAAAAGCAAAAGCATTTGACAACGAAGCAATTGTAAAATATCCACCATGTCTCACGAAAGCATTCTCTATGAGGTCCCACCCCTGCCAATAGATTGAACATTTTCTTTTCCAATTATGCTGGTTTAAGTTTTACCTGAGCATGGGGTTGGGAAGTATAAACTAAATTCAATCGGAGCTGCAATTTCTTTATCGGAAAGCAATGCAAATACCACACCTTCGAAGGCAGAAAACACATGGAAACTCTTCTGCTGGAACTAATGAAGATAAGGTGATCCATGAACTAACCGGCTTGAATGGCATTTACGGCAGCCCGGCGATAATGCTCAACCATGTCCTGTATCTCAGAGTGCTTCAGAGCTCTGGGTTCGGGATAAATGGCATGAGACCCATCTGGCATCAGGATCCTCCACCTCTGACTTATTGGCCCGTTCGTCGACGACAACGGTGCAGCTCCCCCGGGCTGATAAACTGATCGATTCAACGGGTTCAAAACAGGATCCGGTCAGCACATCGCAAAGACAACATACATTCGCGGAAAGGAAATGCTATGCAGACTTTTGCGACACTGAAAAGTGGCGGTGGTCATCAATCGCAGCGCAATGATCATATCAAAATTTGTATTTTCTATGAGACCCAGTATGCAGAAAAGCTGGAAAAGATAAGGCTGCCAAAGCACGGAAAGAAACGGACACCAGAGAATCCACCATCACTGAGGATCTCGTGTGCTTGTCATTGGCCAAAATAGAACGTGTACCTTGATGGGATGCACGGCCAACGTGCCAAAGTTGACAGAAGATAACGCTGCCCTTGGCATGAACAGAGTCCACCACCTTCTTCCATGCTCTCACCTGCTCTTCACTGTAGATCCCCGGGACATGTGGGAACCTGCGCTTGGAAATCCCTTCCGAATCTTATAATCCACACGCTCATAACTCATTTCCTCCATTCATTACATCAATCCCACTTACTTGGCACTAAAACATTGCTCATTCAGTCGTCGACGCGAATATAATAACCTACTTTTTCAAGCCAATTTCTACTGCTAAACACTCCTCTCTGCAAAGAGGGACATGCAAAGAGCCATATGTACGTTAAAAGGAACCGAGCAAATCAAACCATCCATGCTACTTGCGCCCGAGTTATTTCAGGTAGAAAGCAGCAGCTTATTATTTTCATGCCAATTCCTACTGTTAAACACTCCTCTATCCAAAGAAGGACATGCAAAGAACCATCTGTACGTTGAAAGGAACCGGGCAAATCAAACCATTCATGCTACTTGCGACCAAGTTAAAAGGAACCGGTGCATTTGTTTCACTGAAAAATTCATTATAGACAAACATATTTACCGTGGAAGTCATTTTCCGTTTTCATTTGTTTGATGATTTAAGGAGAGTGATTTCCTTCTTACCAGAAGAGGAAGTCGTTTTTGTCCGCGCATCGATTAGTTTCCCGACTTTCGAAGTTTTCCATCAAACCAACGGATCATTAATCTACATTTTGCGACCACCCGTGCATCTAGACTCTTATTTTCAGAATTCAAAGCTCTCGAAACTTTCACAATGATGATATATAAATTCTCACCCTCGATTGCTCCATAGTTTTCTGAAACATAAATAATATTTTAAGCAACAGAATACTTTTTGCTTATTCTTAATCGTTCCCTATGCTCTAACCAAAGTGAAAAGTACACTTATTCCAAAAATTATGAAAAAAAAAAAGTCGTATGCAGACTCGTGCGCTAACGTTTATATCCCCGCGAAATTTTTTCGGGTGCTTCGGGCTAAGATAAAATCAAAGTGGATGCTGCGCCGCAAGATTTAGAGAAGCAAAAAGAAAAATTGTAAAAAAATCGATCCAAATGCGTACTTTGCCACATGACTCTAGTGGCCTTACCAATTCCCCGAATTGAGATTTGGCTGCACGACTAAGCTTACGTTTCGTAAAGCTATTGATCCAATAACGGAAGCCACTAACCTAAATTTAGTAATCCATATAAAAAAAAAATCACCAGCACACCAAAAGGGCACCACCGCAACGATCACTCTCGCGTGATTCATCCCCAGTTTCTCGCCGGGACCTGGACCCACGGGTTTAGTTCATCACGGCCGTTGATCATGCGGGCTCCGCCCGATCAGCGGGCACGTGGGTCCCGGTCCCGGTCCCGGGTCGGGAAATTTCTCCGGTAGATGGGATCGACAGGGACTAAACAGCAAAAAATAAAAAAGAGTAAAGGACTCAAAAGCAAAAGTCGGGGTGCCAGGGAGAATATAATTTCGGGGGTGGGTTGGGGTGGGGCTGGGCCGCCGGCCAATCACCGACGACCCTGCCCACCCATGCAATGTTTCCTTTCTTTAACCTCTTTAACAAAAAAGGCAAAAGCGCGAGGACCACAGCGGGGAGAGAAATTTACGGAACTGACCCAGCCGCCGTGTCGGAGATCATGGTCCCCTCGGAGATGAGGAACCCGCCGGCCGTCGACCTCTGCGCGTAGTACTCCGCCAACGCCGGCCGCGGGATCCCGCCCAGCGCCCTGCACCTCGTCATCGGCGCCAGCACGATCCTGCGAAAACACACCCCCCCCCCCCCCGGAAAAAGGGCCGCGCTCCGGTGAGACGAAGGCGTAGCAACTTCCGAGCTCGGGATTTCTCAGGGCGAAAGTACGAAGAAGATCGGAGAGAGATGACTGACCTGTGGGAGAGGTCGAACTTGCTCATCCTGTACGGAGTGAAGAGGTCCGAGCCCGCCATGTGTCTCTGCTCACTGTGGAGGCGACGGTGGCGACGGCGCTGGTGGTGGCGGTGGCTGTGGCGGTGGCGGTGGTCGGAGTTGATCGGCGAGCCCAATGCGAATCCGAGGCGGGGGTTTTATAGATGCATCGGAGCTACTAGAGAAGAGAGAGAGAGACGAGGTTTTTCTTTCTTTCTTTTTTCCGGGACTTCAATGATTGAGATGCTTTTGGACGGTCGAGATGTGATCTGAGGCTTAATAAAAATGGGACCGGGTTAAAAAAAGTCATTAGGATGTACTGGTTTTGCCATCGTGACGCGCACGGATGAACCGACGCGACCGAAATTGAATTAATTAATATCACAAAAAACTCTAAACTGGTATATTTATGATAAATTTACATCGAACTAATTTTTTTATTATAAAAAACTTCAAACTAGTATACCTATAATAATTTACCTTAAACTAATATTTTGACAATAAAAAATTTCAAACCGATACATTTGCGACGATAAATTTAACTTGTGTTAAATTAGATTAATATCATGAATAATCTCAAACTGGTACACACCCTAAACTAGTATACCCGTCAACTGCCACGTATCATCCAATTCAGAAATTTGACGGTAAAATTTAACGGAAACTAACGGAGTGTGAAATTGTCACAGATGTACCAATTTGGGATTTTTAGTGGTCAAAAAATTAGTTTGGTGTAAATTTATCACGGAGTGTACTAGTTTTGAGTTTTTTGAGATATTGACCTTCTTATTATTGGTTAAAATCGAATCAATAGAGATGATCAATTTTTTTGTGCATATATTCAAATTTGCATTCCTTGTGTTATTGAGTATGATTAATAGATGCTATCGGGGTGTCGAGCAATGAGATATGGGTGGTGGTGGTCGTTGCCCACCGACCATTGCATTTCTAGCTGAAATTCAGCTGGATCTTCTTTTTTTTTATGATAGTTTCTGTTTGTTAGAAATTTTTTTTAAAGTTCTCCTTCATCTTATATATTTTGGCTATCTTCTTGACTTAAATTCTCGATTAAGACATTTTGGAGCAACTTCTATATATTTTTATTTTCTTTACTCTTTGTTGTTTCTGCAATGCTCACGCTAGCGCGAAACATCTAGGAGATAAAACTTCCTAATATGTTCAAGTATTAATTGGTGAAATTATTTTTAATTTTTCCTCGTTTTCAAAATCTCGAAGAGAACACGATGAGTAGGACCAAGAAGTAAAGAAAAGAAATTCGACATATAAAAGAAAAGATGGATAATGGCCAAAATAGACCATGAACTTTAATCCAGTGTGTAGTGTGATCCTTAAACTGTTAATTTATTCAATATGATCTATGGACTTTTTGTACATGTTCAAGTTAATCTTTGAACCATGTGAAAATGTTCATCCTTCCATTAATTCACATTCAGGGACAATATTAAATATTTTCATATAGTTTAGGGACTAGATTGAACAAATTGAAAGTTCAAGGACCACGTCGAACAAATTAAAAGTTTATAAACGACATTGCACATTAGCTGAAATTTAGGGATCACATTAAACAAATTAAAAGTTTGAGAACCACATTGCAAGTATCATTTGTGTCAATTTCCCAAGAAAAGAAGTGGTAAGAAAGGATAATTAACACAAACCTAGACCTGTCAAAATGGGTCATAAACCCATTTCTTAACCCATATATAAGTAAATGGGTCATAAATGAGTTAGTTAAATTCAGTAAATAAGTTATAAATTGATATAAACATAATATGGGTGTTAAATGGATTATAAATGGATTTACAACTTATTTAAATTCAACTCAATTCTCTCGTCTTCATTCAATCTCATGCTCACTCGCTCCGCGTTTTCAGTTTGGGTATGAGTTTTCCTAGATTAAATTAAATATAAAAGTGTTTTAGAAATATGGGTCAAATCGGATATGGGTGGGTCATTATATTTGCATTGCTTGGAAATGGGTTAAATGGGTCTTGACGGGTCGGATCATTTTTTATCCAATCCGATACACCCCGTTTGACCGGCCCACGCAAACGAGGTTTAAACCGCATGTGATATGAATTAAATTATAATACTTTTTCTTCGAGAGTATCAAACGAGTAATTTAATGGAAACAAGTTAGCAAAAAAAAATTAAAAGATTGGGGGCACGTGAAACGTGTAAGGTGCACTGTACGAGGGAGTGGGCGGGTGGGGCTCGTGGTCGTGGACCGATTGGTCCGTATCCGAGACGCGTGGGCCCCACCCCCACCCAGCGTGGGCAGCCTTTCTCGGGTTTCTCCTCATTGGATTTTCGCACGTGCGTTGCATGGGTTTTGTTTTTTTTTTTTTTGTCGTTGTAAAACTTTGCGATGATGTGCTGACACCGTGGGTGGGCCAGCCAGGCCACGTCGTTTTTCGCGTGCTTGCTTTCTTTCTTCGCGCCCACCAAAGCCTCGTGATTGATGATGGTGGGTCGGGTTCGGCTCCGACCCATGTTGAAAACTTCGAACAAAACGGCTCGATTCGAAGTCCCGATGATCGACCCGACTTGGATTGAACCTATTGTCAGGCCGAATTAGAGGAAAAAGTTTGGTTTAACTCGGTTAAATTACCCTTTTTTTTTCCTGCTTAGCATCGAGTTACCACGGTTAATCCGATCAATCCGATGTCTTTTTTCGTACCATGTGTAGAAGAAATCGTGCGACCAACCATATTTATTCAAGCATAATATCCGCCCTTTGTTTTGAAAACCCGAGCTTGGATGGTGTTCGAAGTTGAACGAGAGAAAACGCGTCGAGTACCTACGGGAGTTGATTCGATCCACGATCAGCGCAGGTGATTGATGCGCTCCGTGAGAACCTGAATTGTTGGTCCTATGAGAGTTGAGCGAACGTAATGTTAGAATCGAAAAGGTTTGGGCAAGACCAATTTCTTTACTCAATGGTTTTGGCTAATATTGTTAATCAAAGTTTAGAATAGAACCTAAACTCGAACAATTTTTGGTTGAAGTATAAAGTTTAAGTCAGTCTTACTAAAACTCACCAGCTCCATAGTGCAAGAACTCAATAGATAGCTTGTTATGGTGAAATGTCAAAGGTCTAGAAACTGACGTAGTTGAACAGATGACACAACAATACATGAGAAGCTTTTATATACATGTATGTGCTGATGGTATTTCTTGCTGCTGACTCGATCTGCTCCGTTTGTTGTTGAATAATAAAGTCATATGCTTGACGTACCTCCCTCTTCGTTCAACGTATATATGTACTACGTTCTGTGATCCTTCGAGAGACCGAGCCATGATCATAAATCTATCGTACCGAAATGCATTGTATCATACCTTCTATACAAAATGTCGTACCTCACAAACATCTTAAAGGTTTTCAATAAATGATCGAGGCCTATTGTTTTATAATCCAACGGTCAATGACCCGTTGGATCCTCGGGATACTTAGAAGTGCCCATATACAATTGCGCTCACCCCAACTTGCCCGCTAGCGCGAGTTCATTGAGTCCTCCGATTTTGTTGGCAGATGTAAAGAAGTATCATGTACTTCTTATCAATAATCGCTAGGTACACCAAATAAAGTGTATATGATGGAGTTAGTCATGGGTAAGACTGGCAATTTTTAACACGACTAGTCCAAACAACATATACAGGTACAGTAGTTAAGCATGTTTGTGTCAAGCTTAGATAGATTTATGTCCTAAGCGGGTCTATTTGATCGATAAATATATCTCGTGCAAGTTGACCTTTTTAACCCATTTGTGACATACTTAGACATGTTTATTGTACGGGTTAACATGTCATTGATGTCAACTGTCGACAAGACACATTTTACTACTAGTACACTCATCAAAAGCCTAATACTGGAGAAAACATAAACACTATGTTGAAAGCTCTATAGCTAGTATACAGGACTAAGAAAAACTCAAATAATGGAGCACGACTGAGTGCATATTAACTCTTACAATTGCTATCCTTATGAACGTAGGTATCAATCGGCATCAAACCACATAATATCCCGTCGTGTTCTTCTCTAGTTTCCGTTTCTCTTCTCCTGTACATCTCGAGTCTCGTTCTTTGGGTTGATCACGCGATTTGGATCCAAGCATAACAATTACAAACGGAAGTTCATATCTCAAACGTGCTAAGCATGTCATATTGCGTGCTCGCATCAGACTCGAATCTGAAGCTACAAAACCACGATGCGGAGACACAAATCGCCAACCCTAATCGCGAGCCATGAAGATGAAGATGATTCTTTCCACGGTGTACATCGCACTTATCTTTTTTGCTCTTCTTGGACAAGACTTTGACGATCCGAGTGGGTCTTCAAAATTCTACAACCCCATTGACATTTTCGCGTGACAATAAACGTTAAGAAGAAAACAGAGTCGCGATGAAGAAAAAAACGAGCTAAGGCATGGAGAAAATCTTGGTGCTGACAGCTTCGTCGGTCGACGACTCGGTCATATCTTTGCGCCTGCCAGCCCTGACCCTTTTCATCTCCCCTTCCACCCCCTCGAGCGAACTGATCGGATTAGGTGGAAATCCACCACATCAAGCTTTTCATACCCCCGCCACGATCTAGAGCGACTTAGCCGTGCTTTCAAATGTCAATTCTCCCCACTAATCTTTTCCGCAATTTCGCATTTTGCAAACGCTCAAGACTTTGTGGGCATACATATTGTGATTAGACATGAGGCCTAGACCGAGTAGGTCCGGTCATCTCGGACCTAAAAATCGTTGCCGAACAACGCGCCGTCGCCCGCGATTGAAGTTTGGGCTCGGGCGGGTCAAGCCTGACTCCCTGAGGAGGATTGGCTTACTCGGATCCAATTGAAACCACTATTGCGGTGGCCTGCACTTTCGCTTGCACTTCTGATTAGGACGATGACTTGACAAATGGAAGGGACGACAATTTTCAAACAATCTCAAAGTCAAGAGATCATTATTTAAAAATAGTAAAGTTATTGAATGGCGGCTAACTCAGTGTTAAACTTTTCAATTTTGCTAATTCAATTATAAATATTTTGATGATTTATCAATATAGTCATTACGGCCAATGTTTGTCGGGAAATCTAGTCAGCATCCGCCGTCCCATGTGGTAGAGTCGGCACC